TGATTTCCTTTTACTAACATTGGGTTCAATTTACTTTGTTTATTCTAACTATGAAAACTTACACAATGTATTTTTAAACATCTTTTTAAAAATCAATACAGGGAGGGGCTGGGGATGTGGCTCAAGCGGTAGCGCACTTGCCTGGCATGCGTGCGGCCCAGGTTCGATCCTCAGCACCACATACAAACAAAGATGTTGTGTCCGCCAAGAACTTAAATAATTCTCTCTCTCTCTCTCTCTCTCTCTCCCCCTCCTCTCTCTTAAAAAAAAAATCAATACAGGGAAATTAATATCAGGCAGGCACTATTCAGGATAACTAGGGAACAGATCCTTCCTTGCTGTTATGACCTGTATGGAATATAAATTATCTATTTCATGCATATAGCATTTAGCATTAGCTAATTCTGTGTCTTAGCCTTTATAAGATTTTTATATGCAAGCATTTATTTCAGGATTTCTAGCCTTTAAACAAAAAGATAAAATTTTCTACTTTTTTACCTAACTGGTTTTAAAAAATAAACATGAAAGTAATTTGTCCTTGTATATAAAGACAGGGAGAAAAAAATAACAATCATCTAACCTTGAAGTTTTATTAATTCATAATGTATTATCATACCTAGGGTTCTGTTCCATGTATCTTTACTTTGTGTAGGAGACCTTGCAGCTTGGTCATAATACTAAAAGCTTAAATGGACATTTCCAATTTCTCTTTGTGACAATAAAGAATGTAYGCACTATCTCAATTCCATGTACTACTCTTATTCTTCAAATTACAACTGTGCTTCTGATTTTATATATAAAATGTACATTATACCTAATTTTAATACATTATGGACAAGGTATCCAGAGCTGCAGGTAATTAAAATTGCAGTGTATGATGTCTTTTTTTAAAAAAAAGTCATTAGTTCTAGAGTTCCTCCTTGCATGTTAGGAGCATGACATTTAATACACTTAATAATATTCAGTGGTGTTAACCAGGCCTATAAGTAAATTTTCTCTACAAAAATTTGAAGATTGAGAGATGCTTAATGAAGATGGAGTGCACATATATCAATTTCACAGAATTCTTAGAAAATAAACATGAAATGTTTGAAGCATAAAAGGAGCTGGACTGTATTGGGGGAGTGTGGGGTTCGTGGGTTAAGGGGTCTACAATGAGTCACTAGGACATTCAATTTATTTTGAGCCAAAAGCAATGTGAGTTCCTGAAATCCCTTATCTGCCTAGAAGTAGAATCTCCCTGAAGAACTCAATCATCCCAAATCCCCTGAGAGCAACTCTAATCTCTTGGAGGTAGCACTGGGTACCCAGAAGCTATCACAAAACTGTCTCCCATCTAGTCTTCTTAAGAGCACCTTTATCTTTCAAAAAGTTATTTTGTCTTTCCATAAGTGTCCTTTCTCTCCACCTTCTAAGAATCCATCTTTTCTCAGAAGTGCCCCTATGCCCGACCCTGTGCCCTATTAATATGGTACAGAATCCCCAGTTCTTACTGCTGAGTTCCATTTTTCTCTGAACATCTGTCTCTTCTTTTACTACTCTTCTGTTTGACAGTTTAATTTTCAGGTCTCTAAACACAGAATATAACAGGAAAAGTTTTCCTCCCTGACATGGAGCAAGAAAGGCAAACTAGTTGCTCCTTTGCCACTAAAGCCCCACTGAGAGATGCACTAACATATAGGATTCTTTGATCTTTTCAACTATGATGATGCCCAAAACCTTTAAGAAGAAAATAAGAATCAAAATTATTTTAACATGATGAATATTACAACTGGAAGTAGATCTTTTTAGCAACAATAAAGTAACTTTATAGACAGGAAAACCAAGATATCTATATAGAAATAAGTTTAATACCAAAGCAAAATATAATATGAAGCTTTCTTATTGCGTTGAACTAAAATTGACACTAGGTTTTTTTTTTATTCAGAAATAGCTATGCTTGATGGAGCATATTGAAACAAGTTATTCACTTAATTACTCCTAGAATCCCTTTATTCTAGAAGTAGAATAGCAGTGAACACCAATGATGTTTTACCAAAACCTTTGATAAATCTGCTTCCTTTTCACAAGGTCATTAAGAACCTGCTATTTCCCAACTATTTTGATTGCAAGAAAAAGATGAACAAGAAAAACACTCCAGCTCCCCCACTAACAAGCAGAAACCAGAACTGAGTCATTTAACCTGCCTGGATGACCTCCTTGAGATCCCGAAGTCCCAGGAGATCAGCAGAACAGGAAGTCCTGTCACGGCCTCTCGTTTCCGTTTTGAGCAGTGATAGTACAAAACACCCTGTGATGTGGGGAACACAGAACTTAAAGCAGTTATCAGCCACCTGTTCTCATCACATGAGCTGTCCATCTGTGGCAGGATGTCAGATCTGACACTGAAGCTGGTGCCGTCGAGGATGTGAGCCACTAGTGTTCATGGCTATCAGCAGACCCAGGAGCCGCGCACGCACAGCGGTCAAGCCAGGATGCTTCCTTCCCCAGCTTCCAGCATGGAAGTGCAGACTACTGGGCAGGAATGAAGGTGACCAAGAGGTCACCCTCCTACAAYATAGTAGGTATTTATGAAATAGTTCAGGGAATGTCTGTCCAAACCTCCTCTGAGTCAGATTTTTATGAATTTCATTCTTGAGTAAAGATAATCAATATTTTTAAAGTTCTATGTCCGGAGTCAATGAGGCACTCACCAGTGATCACCACATGGAGACCCTAACAGAGATAGGGCCAAACTGGTATATTCACCCAGAAAATGAGAGCTTAAAGAAAAATGGAACATTTTCCAAGAAAAGCTAGAAAATGGAAAAAATGTTCCATTTTCCTGAATATGATTTGGCAATCAGGTCTGAAGTTTGCTCATTACAATATGACTTTTCAATGAGTTTTTGAAGGGCTGAGAACAAACCACCTTCTTTGCATGGAAAATAAACAAAAGAAAATATTTAGACCCTCTCAACCTGAAGGTATTTGGAAAATTTCAATTTCAACTGTGAACCTCAACTTGCTTGATGGATTAGATTTGAAAGTTGTTTCTGGGGGGAAATACATGAGAGGAACAAGTGAAATAAGTGCAGGATTCTATGCATGTTGAGCTSAGGTAGGCACACACAGGGTCCACCATGCTGTTCTTTGTGAATATTGTTATAAAATTGCTAAAAGGATTATATTTCTTGAGTTTGGGCTGGGCAGTCCCAAATTAAATGAGAAGTAGACAACCACATTGTGTTTGAGATTTGTTGAGACATCTTCAGAGGGGTGGAGAATTAATGACCCTGAGGGGGGAAGCTCCCTCTTCCTCCAGAGACCTCCAGAGGGAAGCAAGGGTCCTGCTCTGTTGGCCCATGGTAAGGCTGGGAAACGTGGTTTCTCCAGTGATCATTCTGCTCCCTCACTCTTCCCTCAACACTGAGGTTTGTGCAAAGCCTACTGGCGGAGATTCCCCAGATTCCAGCCTGCCTCCCACTTCAGAATCCAAAGCTGAGAGCCACCAATCAGTAGGACTTGCACAAAAGAAAACATTTCTGCTAGAAAGAAAAAAAAAAAAAAAGTAACTTGCTGAATGTAGGGCAACTAATGAATCTATCCACTCACCTCTCACCTGTACTGTTTTGTGTCAACTGTTCTGGGTTTATAAAGAGAAGACCTAACTCTGTCACTGACTTCCTGTCCTGGAGGAGAACTTCCTCCTCTGCATGTTTGTGGCAAAGGGTGCCCTTTGTATTTTATGCAACTGACTTGATGGACTTCAGACTCTGCGGGGCAGATCCCTTCCCCTGAGCAGCTTGGAAGTTACTCCTGGGGCACAGCCAAATTTATTCCTTTCCCCAAGTGACACCAAAAGCCAAGGAGGATTCTGGGTGCTAAAGTAGGTGGGACTCCGTGCTGTAGAGGTGTAAAATGACACCAGTGTCCACCACAGTTCCTGGCACACATGTTCAGTGAGCATATGAGTGTTTAATGCCCCTCTTACTAACACACTGATTCTTTTTCATAATAAGAGAAAATGGATCCTTATTATTTAGAGAAAAAATTTCTCTGAGCAAGACTTTGTAAAATGAGTGATGTATAAAAAGTAAACAACTGGAAAGACAGCGACTTTTTTTTCCTGACATTGGTTTACTCAGAGGCTCCGTAATCACAAATCCTGCAAACCTATTCAACTGCATGTGAATCTGACAGTGTGAAAGGTCTCAGCACGGTGCTTGGGACTGTCCTACACCCACTTCAACTCAAAGGCAAGGTTTTGTGAGACACAAGGAAAAGTGAAATGGAGAAAAAAAAGAGGATGGAAAGTTAGTTAAATAGTTTAATCATAGCAGTTTTACAATTCTAAAATTAACAAGCAGACTTGTAATAAAAGAGCTCCAATGTTTGCAAAATGACCTCACTTCCATTCTGAATGTGTCTTTTTAATTGTAAAGGTTAGCATTACATTTAAAAGGACTCAAAATGGAAAAAAAAATGGAGCAATTTATATATCACCCATGGTCTGTGATGCAACTGATGAAATCCCTGAATGGATATTGCTTCAGCTTTGATATCAAAAAATGGCCTGACGAGAAGTCCTTAATCAACGACTGATCACGGGTGGCCGAAAGAAAGAGGAAAACCCAAAACTACCTCAAGTTCGGAACGTATCACATTGTTGGTGGATGACATTGGCTCCGAATGTACAAATAAGCCCACGACACTTTATTACTATGGATATAATTATCATGGAAGTTCTCTCATGTTGATCAACTTGCTTCTGAAGGTTTTCTTGGTTCCTTTAAACTTGCATAATAAACATGCAATGAATTATTTCTTTTGAAAGTGTGTTTTTTTGCAGTCTTTTTGTTTTCATACAAAGATTTCATAATGTTGCAATGTTGCATCAGAGAGCATTACCAAAATTAGAGCAGGAGCAGACGGGGAGGGCAAATGAGGAGTAGCTGATGAGAAGAGCCTCGTCCATCCTGAGTCACACCACCCATCTTTTGAAACAGGTGAGAAAGCTTTTCTAACCCTCCCCCACCAGAGAAAAAAAAAATGAAGAGAAAAAAAAAACTCATGAAATCAATCTAACTAAGGAAAAAAAGGTGGATGTAAAGAAAAGAAAGATGCTTTTCATGCACATCTTCTGCATAGCTCAACCCACATAGAATAAGGCACGGTTTCCCTTCACAACTGGTGTCCACGGCAATCGGCTAAGTGCTACAGTGCTGTGACYCTCAGACAGTTCCCTTTCAGATGGTGAAATAAAGAGGCCGGTGACTGTGGCTGCCACGCTCCACTGTGAAGGTCCCATGGCTCAGGAGGTGTCCAGGACCCTCAGAAGAAACTGCCTGCATGGTATGGTAGAGAGTGTCTGCAATGATCTTCTTCCCAGAGTTCCCGTTTTATCTGGGTATGAATTTAGATTCTTCTTCAGTCTTTATTTCTCAAACAAAATACACAAGGTGGGGGGAAAATAGGTCCTTAGAGACAGAGCTCTGATGCTCCCAGAAAGCACAGAACACTGGCCATTCACAAAATCTGCACGCTCTTTCCAAGAGGACAGAGACAGAGAGGAGGTCAGAGAGGGTGGGCAGGTGGACAGGGAGGCACAGAGAGGGAGGGGGCCTTCTGTTTTCAGTGGCGATTTTAATTTAGTTGGTCTTCATACTGTTTCCGGAAGCAATCCCCTGCTGGGAAAAATTCCCAGCACCTCTCTTGATACATCTTCCAGACGTAAGATTCCTGAAAAGCAAAGGCAATGTGTTAACATGGTCCTCCAGATCTGTGTGTGAACACAAGATATAGACAGAAGCTCAACTATGCTAATGGAAAACAGGGAGAAATCCAAATTTATTTAGTTTCAAACTAACTATAGCAGGCCTTATTTACTTCTGGGAATAAAAATATAATAATGATAAAAATATGCTTGTGATAAGTACTTTTGAGGGTTCTCTTAAAATATTATTATTAATTATATCCCTTGTMAAACTATTAACAATTTGTGGTGAGCAGTTCTGAAAGGGGACTTAGACATGTAATGTGCAGTCATTTTTAACTAAAGGTAACAGAGTGAGCTGAAGTTCCTTTGAAATTACTGGCCATCTGATTTAAGCAAACAAGGGCATTATAATTAAAAACACTCAATTTTCTTACAGCTTCTAAATGCAAACCCAACACTGAAAAGTTTACAATGTGAAATTAGAATTTTACTTTTTCAAAGAAGGCAATCTTTCCAGACTCCTCCAAGGTAACAGGCATTCACATCAGGACACCTCAACCAATACCTGAGTCTCATTCCTCCCTGACTCTGCAGGGCTCATGCTTTGCCCCAGTGTGTGGGGCTTCCCTTCCCATCGTTTCTTTCTAAAGATGTGTAGTCACCATTACCCACCTGTCCCGTGTGTTCGGTTTCATCTTTGTTTATGAGATACATCAGAAAAAACCTACAGATACAGAGAGATTCATGAGAAAGGGATTATATAAAAATATCAGAATATGGAATATTTTATACATCTTCTGTTGAATTCCATTGTGGTAGGCACAGAGGAAAACCACCAACACGATTCATGGAAAATTAACTACAGTGCACTGGAAGGAAGGAAGGGCGTGTTTTGACTTGACTTTCTGGTCTGATGCATGGTTTCCCCCTGACTGCAGATTGGGGTACACACACCTGACTGCAGATTGGGGTACACACACCTGACTGCAGATTGGGGTACACACCTCTGTCGGAGTCGAAGCAACACTGATGAATTTTAATTGAAGACCTGCTTAGGAAGATGGCCCCACTTACTGATGGGTTCGATCCAGTCTACTTCACCCATTTTTTTTTCTTTACAATGCTCCTTTACATCTCCTCTGTTAGATACTAAAATTGGGTGAAACTAGGAATAACATTTTACCCAACTATAATTTTGRCTACTTCCACATAGTGGCCATATTTCTATGTATTAAAAAATCAAAAGCAACTTTTAACTAGGTTTCCAGTAGTGCCTACAGAGACCTGTAATTCTGCAGATTTAATAAAAGCAGGCTTCACATCCTACTAGGAAGCAGCTGGAGGATTCCTGTTTGAGATGGGGAAGAGCTAAGACCCCCAYAGAGGCTCTGCACCCGACTCTCCACCCTCCCTCCTCCACATTTTAGAAAGAATCCTTCATGTGAAGAGCTGCAGTTTCAATTCATAATTCAACCTATTCCAGAGGGAAAGACAGCCAATGGCTGATGGTCCTTCTTTTAAAGTATCTGAGCAACTGTGTAGAGAGAGCAGCTCCCCTGTCACCCCCTGCCATGCCTCAAGCTGCTTGGGATGGGYAGAGAGTCTGGCTGGGTACTCACAGGTAGTTGGCCAAGTTGTGCTCCTGCAAAGTGTGGGTTTCAAAGCCATGTGGCACTGTGTCAAAGTAGTCATTGCCTATTCCACAGATGAAGCACTTGGTCTAAAGGACAAAGGGAAACAGTCAATGTCAGGGGTTCACAAAGCAAAACTCATCACACAGCAGCAGCAATTTGGTTTTCTTAATATACATCAAAGATACCTGTGTGGAGGTTTTGCCAGACCCTTGAAGGTGAATTTAACTGTTTCCACAACCATTTTTTAGTGTAGTTTAAATAATACTAGTACTGGCAGCAAGTAATAAATGCAGAGTGCAGGATGAAGACAGCCAAAAGGCTATTTTTTTTTTTTTGGCAGTCTACATGCAAATGTCCAGACTTAGCAACCACTCTTGATCATGACATTGACTACAGCTACATAGGCAGGATTAACTGTCCTCACCTGGCACTGCAAACTTAGTACCTGCATGCACCAAGTCTAGGAACCAAAGGGATAAAGAGGTACATTACTTCCCTTTGGGGAGGGTCAAATCTAATAACAAACCATGAGGCATTCCAGTGACTCTGTGGGTCTGCCCTGGACCAGGTACTGTGGGAGGTAGGACTTAGCCAATGGATGTGTGCTTCCCTGTCAATTCCAGGAACTGGCTACATGGTCTTTTCGCCTCCCTTTCCACTGAACTACGCCTCTCATCATGCAGTCCACAGAAYGGCAGCTGCTTGCTTGACCATCTGCAGGACTGGCCCACACACACCCAAGGAACAGCAGCCCCTCCATTTCATGATCTGAGTTTTGGAATTAGAGTGACTGTGTTATCAGGCCAAGTGGATTTAGTGTTGACACCTCATTCCTCACCAACTGGAAGCTGTTTAATTCCATCTAGAGCATGCCCATAAGGCAGATCCTGGGTCCTGGGATCAAGGTGATGATGGTAACTTAGAAATTTCATCCTGCCTTATTGGTCAACAACTGCTGACCACATGTGGGATTTGGGAGAACAACCAGGTCTTTGCATGGCTCTACTGGATGTCCTTTAAACCAAACAGGTTCAATTCATATTGTTAATCTGTTACAGGAGCCTGCTCTTCCTACATTGACCCAGGAGWGCTAACTGAGCCACCAGCACCCATCCAGGGGCTCCTGCCTGCAGCCCAGGAACCTGCTGGCTTGCTCCATCTCCTTGTTCTGCACTGGGGCCGCCATGTTCTCTTCAAGCTCCCAAGTACATCTGTTCCATTTCATTTCTGCTTCCTCAGGGGCACTTCTTCAGCAACCTCAGAGGCTCTTCATAACCTCTACCTGGAAATGCTGTGGCCTCTTCTCTGCTTCTGGTCTGGCCAGTTTCTAGTCCACTAACCCTAACCCTCATTTGAATCCACAGTTAGCATGTAAGATATAAATCTCATCACCTTGCTGCCCTCCTAAATCCTTGCCTTCTTTCCCACAGTCCATATGATCAACTAGATTTCTCAAGTGAGTTATTATAGGCTCTTCATTAACTGGTTTACCTCTCAAGCTCCATCACTAGCATTTAATGCTTCATCCTCAACCATTTACACTCTCAAAAAAATTTTGGCATATCCAAATTCCCTAAAATCAGAGCCTTGGCAATAGGGCCTTAGATGGTGAGGCTCTCACACAACTGCATGTGAGTGGTACCCTGGAGATGAGAATGGAACAGAAGGGGATAGTGATGAGGAAGGTACCACTGTCCTGCTCTCTCACTCTCAAACCTACACCTCCACCAGCTTTGGGCCTCAGCTTGGGCATCTCTTCCAGGAAGTTCCCTGATCATCCAGGAATGACCAGCACCAGCCCTGGAGACCCCAGTGCTCAGGGGTGTCCCCTCACAGGAGCTCCTCCCACTGCCCTGTAATCAACTACCTGTGTGCCTATCTGTTGGTGGATCTGTGGTTAGGATGAAGAGTCTCCCACTTCTTGAGGGTGGATGGCACCCATTACTGCAGTCCAGTTCCAGTTTAGCTACTGTTTCAGCACATGTATTGGCTGAATTGAAAACCACAGTTGAAAACTGAAAAGGCCAGTGAAACCACATGTGGTATGGGTCCCTGAGCCCCTTCCCCACACCCATGCTTCTCTTGACAGAGGCAGTGAGGAAGATGAACATCATGATAACCACAAAGCATGCCACAGGAAGAGGCTTACCTCCATGTCTTCCTTGACTTGCTCCTGTTGGTCTCTCAGTTCCCCAAAAGCATCAATAATTAAACCTAGTGTTAAACAGAGACACAACTTAATCTTTATCGACCAGAGAATAACAAATTCATAGTCCTTTGCCCGTTGCATCTGAAGAAAGGGAAAAATATATAACTCTATAAGAGAATGCTCAAAACTTCATAGACTTACCAGCTCACATCCAATTTTTCTACTAGGGAGTCACTCTATTTTGGGAGGGAGAAGTAGTTACTGAAGCGAACACTCACTAAACGAGCTTTTAAAAATGAATGACAGTGCAAGAAACTTCTGATCAACTTGGCATACGCAGAGGGTAAGTACCCACCTACTTCATGCTGCAAAAGAACAACTGGGGTTTGTGGCTGTAAAACACAGAAAATTCTCCAGAACAGCTTTGGAGTATCAAGTTGGGAATAAACCAGCACCTAACTGTGGGAATCCTCAGTTGCCTTCCCATGAGGTCCTACAGGTGCAGCTTCCAGAAGCTGCAGTAGACATTCTGTTTCAGCCCCTGCACTTTCTTCCAAGAGTTTTATGATTTCGTCGTCTCACCAAACACACTTCTACTGCACTCAATAAAGACCTAACACATAGACTGTGAACCTTTACACTTCTCCATGTATTTGAGAAAAAAAAAAAAACCCAGTGCCACTTTTTGCCTGTGGAACTTAAAGGATACTGTCACATTAGACATCTCRTTCAAGTCAGGATAAATGTGTTAAGCAAAGAAAATAAAATGAATGATTTTTTTTTTTTCTGAGAGTAAAAGACCACACTCCAAGTTAGCCTACAATAAAAAGAAGAACCAGGGGCTCATGGCAGCCCCATGGCTAGACATGAGGACTGTGAGTCCAGACGGCCCCAGTCTGGATGTGGGCTCCTGCCCAGCATGGTGGGACTCCACACTCTGCTCAGGCTGYGCAGACTCACCAAGGCTGCCTCTTCCCAGGCAAAGTGTGGGTAACAGCCCGGTCCTCATGATGCTACTGAGAGGGGAACACATGCCTGGCATGAGGCAGGTTCTCAGCAGCGAGAGCTCTGACTGTTTATGTTGCCCTAATTACATGTCAGGCACCACACTGGGCATTTGAACGAGTATCACTTTTTAAAACCTCTCAACAACCATGCATAGGGCTTAGAGATTTACGTGACTTCCATGTGACAGACCCACATGGCTTTGGTTSGCCCAGTCCCCCCAACTCCTCAAGCTCCTAAGCAGCAGGACTGGAATTCAAACCAAATTAAGTGCTCTGTCCACTGCTGTTCAAGGGAGACACAGAAAACCGTATCCCTCCCCTCTCAGGTCCCAGGCTGCTTGTTTTTCCCTCTACTAGTTTGACCAGGAAGAAACCGGGAAAGGGAAAGCTCTGTTTGGCCTTTCCAGAAAACACACTGCMTCTTTGCCCCATCCTGAGCTTCAGCTCCAACCACAGTGGCTCTCGTTCCGGATGTCCTAACCCTGGGAGGAGGAGGCTCACCTTGTATGATAGCCAGGAGGATGACGATCACGAAGAAGAAGAAGGTGATGTCGAAGATGATGCGGTAGATCTCATACTCGTCTCCTGCTGGGTCTTCAATCTCATCTCCAATGCCCCCTCCAGCACGGACCCCCACATACATGTGGAACATGTAGCACTGTAAAGGGCAGAAGGTGTCACTTCTTGGGCAATGTCTCCCAGTTTTACACTCAAGATCCCTGCCAGATGAGGTGGTGTACACCTGTAATCCCAGCAGCTCGGAGACTAAGGCAGGAGATTGTGAGTTCAAAGCCAGCCTCAGAAATTTAGCAAGGCTCTAAGTAACTCAATGAGATCCTGTCTCAAAATAGAAAAAAAAAAAAGGGCTAGAGATGTTGCTCAGTGGCTGAAGACCCCTGTTCAATCCCTGGTACCAAAAAAGAAAAGAAAAGAAAAGATCTCCAAGATTTTCTCTCTGCTTCCCGATGCTCACTCTGGAAAGGATCTCAGAATCATCTCTGCATTTTAATCCTGGTAACTGTGATGCAAACTCTTGGATCCTACACACCACTGTCTTTCAATTAAAATTCTCTGCTGTGGGCTCTGCCTAGCACCTGCTGTCTCACTTTGCAGATAATGAAAAATCCTGCATTAGCGTCTGGGCACCAATGCATTTAGGATAATAAGGTCTCATGATACCATTGAAGCGCATGAAAAAAAAAATCTATGAATGAATTGCCCAGTCACTTGACGACAGCAGCAGAGGAAAAGACAAGCACAAGACCCTCACTGAACCACCTGGAACTTCAGAAACCGAGCTGGAGAAGAGCAGACTTCACAACCCCAACCCTCCCCTCACCTAGAGTGTGTGGAATCAGGGGCTGGGAGTCTTTCYTAATTTAACATCTGAGATAAAGAAAAAAGACAGAGGGGACAGACAGAGGAAATAGCGGCTCATTGGTTCAACCCTGAAACATAAAAGCAGAAATTACAGCTGGCTACGGGTGCACAGCACAGGGAATAGAGGGTTCCTACAGTGGCTTCGGGGCAGGGTTGTTACCCCAGTGCCACTGGCATTTGGGTTGGGTAATTCCTTGCTGCAAGGGACTGTCCTAAGCATTGTAGGCTATCTGAGAAGGGTCCTGTGACCTCAGTCTATAAGATATCAACAGCATCCCAGTCCCTGGTGACAACAAAACACTGTCTCCTGATGCCACCCCTATGGGCAGAGTTGTGCCAGGTTGAGAGTCACTGGCTTAGAGCACCCAACRTTCCATCCTCGTTCAAGGCAGATCCTAAGTCCCCATCTCGGGCTCAGAACTTTAGCCCCACTCACCCACTAAGCTGTTTTTTCACGGCTGCCTCCCCCACACCTCCTCCAAAAAAGCTCTTCCTGATCCTAGATCTCTGCTCTACATTCACCTCATGTGATATCCTTTCCCATTCTTATCCYGTCACAACTCATTCTTTTGGAAATAAATTAATAATTTTTTTTTTCCCATAAGCCCTTCTCAGAATGGTCCAKACACTCTGATTGACCCGAATGCTATGTCACTCATCAATTCAAAGCCCATTTGCTGGCTGCCTCCATGGCACAGAGGCAAAGGCCCTGAAATGCCATCTCACTCGGTGACACGTGGCACTCCTAGCTTTCTGGCCTCCTTCTCAGCCTCCCATGCCAGTCCTTCCCATCTCCCTGTCTCTTGAGAGCCAATGCCCAGGACTATGCTCTTCGATCCTTTTTCTTTTCCAACCCCCCCTTGGGGTACCTTTCTCTGTTTCCTGGCTAACTGATCTCCACTGGGCCAGTCATTTCCAACCCTTTCTCTTTCAGCCTTGCTGTCTTCCTGAACTCCACATCTGGGCCCCAGCTTRTCTGATGGCCTATCTCACTCCACTGGAACCGGCTCTGCCCCTTTCCTGTTCCAGTGCCAGTGCCTAAAATAACACCTGGAACATGACAAGAACTCTAAACTCGCCTGTGGATGAATGAGGGCCAGATGAGCTGTTCTTGTGGAGACCTGTGGCCTCAACCCATTGGCCTCAAATTCTCAGGTGACCTGAAAGAGCAGAAAGTGCAGGCAAAGAACAGGTTGCAAGAGGACACCAAAATGCTCCTAACTGGACTGAGACCAAAAGCTCAAAGATCTGATGGATGCAGGAGATGACAGGTTTCCTGGGTCAGAGGCCTGGAGCCGAAGGAGCAGGATTCAGTGAAGATGAGTCATTCAGAAAAGTTCTGTGAGCTGGCACACAGCTGCAATGCCTACCCACGAGCACTGGGAGCMCAAGACAGCCCTCAGATCTGGATGAGGCCGAGGGGCCTGGCCCTAACTGCACATGAGAATCTCTTGGAGGCGCAAACATTCTGGATTCCTGGTTCCATGTACTGAATTCATCTCTGGAAGTGAAATTTTAAAGAAGTCACTTTAAAAAAAAAAAATCCCCAGGACACTGCAGTGATTTCTCAGACCTTTATGCCTGAAACTGTTGCCAGGACATTTGTGGGGGGAGGACATTTTGTTTTCACTGAATATTCCTGAACCCTGTTTCAGTTCGTTTTAGCACACATATTCCTTATATTTACTAAGAAGAAATGCAGACATTTTCTCCAAATCTGTGTCTCCATATGTGCTCAGCTGTGGCCAGAGGAAAGGGACAGCTCTGACTACGGCCGCCCTGTGCCCAGTTCCTGAAGGCTGGTTCAGCTGTTCTTGCTGGCTTTACCAGYACAGCTTTGTATTCAGAATCTTCCTCTTTAGTTTGGACAATCCACTTGCCCTTGCTCTGGAAGACTGGCATATCTCTGTCAAACTCTGGTCCTGGGATACCCATACCAATGGCCACAGGGAGCAGCAGGGAGGACATAGAGTTCCCATCCACATCTTGGAATGTCCTACTCTCCAGCTCTGCTTGCTTGGAGCTGCATGTGACAGTGCTAGCGAGTACCATCCAGGTAGTTCCTGACTGACTCCTGTTGACCAAGACTTTTGGACTATAATTGGCTTTCCATAAAGAGCTTTTCTTTAGGAAAGCAACTTACTACATGAAATCTTTCCCCTGCTGAGGATTGAATATAGGGTCTTGCACATGGTAGGAAAGCAATCCACCAGTGAACTACACCTGCAGGCTGCTATGTGAGCTCTTAATGAGTAAGATTTGGCATTCTGACTTATACATGAGACTAAATTACCAAGGCAATGTCTCTTTCCTTTTCTCTCTTGCTAGCCATCCAACCAGCCTTTCCTAGCAGTATCCCTGCATCTCATTCCCCACATTCCTTGTATGGTAATTCCAAGCATGCTGAGCCAGGGTTTCCAGCATGGTTCAATGGCAAATTCACGTCCATGCTGAAAAGATAAGAGTCTTGTGGATTTTATTATTTAGGCTCAATGAAATACTACATTTGAAAATAATAAGGGCACAGTTCACCAATGGGGTTTGGGTACTGGTTCTCATGACCTGGTTGTCCCCAGACTCAGCATGGCTACAGTGGTGCCACGTGGGGGTGTCAGGTTTTCAACCACCCAGTGATCCTTCTGGTCCTGAAAATGAAAATCCTGTGTCTACATTTCTTTTCATAGAATTAGCCAAACATGGTACTAAGAGCTGGAGTTGGAAAGATGTAATTCTTTGAGGGGAAAAAAATGATACACTTCTTTCAGAGAATGTGAGTAATGAGGAAGAAAAAGTGCCTGGTCCCACAAACATGGGGACCAAGCAACTGTTAATTCTCAGGACTGTACATGCTACATCTTGTCTTCCTCATTCACCTCCTCAAGGGATCTGTTCTGGGGTTGAGCACTACGTTGCCTTCAGGAGGACTGGTAAAGACTTTTTTTTTTATGTTTTGAGACTTTATGTTGGATAAAAAAGGGAAGGGGAGAAAGGGTGGGCAAAAAGGGTGAGAACAATTAACTGGGACCATCTAGAATGGTCACCTAACTTCCAGGAGGGTGCTCCCCATCTCCATCACCCCAAAAGCCTTTTTCCAACGAAGACATGCCTTGGAGTCCTACCTGAGCCACAAGTACAGGGGAGATCTAAGTGGTCCACCCACACTGTGGGTTTCCAGAGCTGCCCCAGTGACTCCTCTCCTGTGGAGATGAATGTCCTTACACAGGTCCCCTCAGTCTCCCTAGGTATTTAGCTGCAACCATCYTTTCCCCTGGACTTTAGATCCTCCTATGTTCTTGGCAAGGAGGTTCGAATTCTATCAGGACATTGCTGGTTTAATTAGATTCTCAGACTCAAAACACCATAATCCAGGAAAAAATAAAATTAAATAAATCCCCWGTAAAGCAGGAGTGGTAAAACTGCAGCCACAGCGCCACCTGCTGTGAGGTAGGGCAGCAGGGAGCACCAACCTTGAGAGGCTCCCTGGACTGCTGGCCTTGCCCTCCTGCAGAGGTGGTGGACAAGCATGTGAAGCTCACATAGGGGACCTGAGTGGAGAACCATAACTAAAGAGAGAACAGAGATTCTTGTAGAAGAGAGATCTCACCCTAGGAAAAGGAACTACTAAAAGATATTACCAAGAAGGGCTTCTCCTGTGAGAACTGAATTAAAGTAAGATGGGACAATTTCCTGTTCTGCTTCTTTCCTGTCCACAGGCACACTGGGCTCTACTTTGAAAGAGCATTGTGATTAGTTACACTTTACACTTGGTCAGCTTTTTAAAGAAGATACGCCATGCAGGTTAGTAAGAATCCAATTAACTGGGGATGCTTAAGCCCCAAGACTCTGAGAGTTTTTAAGAACAAGCAGCTGGCCTTGAGCTTGAGCAAAACCTCAGACTCTTGCCTGGCTTTCCTGATCYGCAGCACCCATGGAAAGGCTAAGAGCTGGGTGTGGCTAGTGTCTGGAAAATGCATTTTCTCTGTGGGAAGGAAACATCTGAAATAGCCTTATGATGTCCATAAACTCTCCACYGTCCAAAGTAAGCGAATTGCTATGCCCAGAGATGTGAGACCCTACACCAGAGCTGGGCTCAGACAATCTCAGTCCCAAAGATTCCCAGAAATCCCTTTAACAGAAGAGAACCAAGATCTAGCTAAGTTTATTGTTCAAACCATCAAGAGACATGCCTCTTCATGGTAAAGAGTGGCAAATGCTCCAGCTTCTGTGTTTGTGTCCTGTGAAACTGGGCAAAAGCAAGCAGGTGAAGGCCATCATCTTCTAAGCAAAATTAACAGCAGTAAGGGAATCACATCCTGAGAACCACAGTGAGAATGTTGTCCTCTAAGGATGCTTTGTTGACAGCTTATTGTGGTGGAGACTGTGCTACAGCAGGGGAGACCAGGGAGGTGCCGAGGGTTACTCGGGCATGGAAAGGAGAACCAGGGTGGCAGATCATCCCCCTACCTAACACTGTCACTCAATGTCACCATCTGAGACCACCCCCACAGTTCACAGTATAAAGATCAGGTTCTCTACAAGGTTTTCCAAAACTTTGGAATTTCTAGGTCACGTTTTTCTTGGAAGATCTTCTTAGAAAACAAAGGAGCTTAACAGAATTTACAAAGATGTTATCATGCAAGTTCCTGAGGGCAGGGATGGTGTTTGCTCAGTCAGACCTTATCCTCAACAAATATCTGACACAAAAATAACAATTAATAGCACAGGGCACAGAACAATGGCTGAAGAATGACTCTTTCTAACCATGTGGCCTATGGCAACTTGTTCCACCTCTCAGGAGCTCAGTCTCCCCATCTGTAAAGGTGGATAATAACAGCACTCCTATAGCATAATTGTTAGGAGGCCCTGGTTTTGGGCAATGCCTGGTTCATTACTTACTTAGTGTTAAGTCCCATGCAAGTTCTTAATAAATAATCAAGTTCAAGTTATGAACCTGTAACTGAGACACCATTTCTTACTTTTCAGGAACTAGTTTGGATAAATGACCATGACTGTGACATGTTGTCTAAGTAGGTGACTGACACATGGACACCACAATGTCATGTGCAGAACATCTTCAGGATGGAAACAGTGATRTGAAATTTGGGAGAATTAAGAGGGWCCTGTTAGTCATCCCCCTCAGCTTCCTGTATGCCCTGCCTCTCCCCCTGGCCAGGAAATCCACCCTCTAGATGGTTATAATATTGAGAAGAATTGAATTAAGCTCTCTTTTATAATGTGTTGGGGATAAAACAGTCTTAGACTTCTAAAATCAATAATATATTTGGTTAAAAAAATAACTCAAGAAAATAAAGTATACAAAACGACAAACATACATCTTTTCCTCTCCCCTGATCTGTGGTCCAAATCCCAGYGCATCCTCTCACAGTAATGCCCAGAGACTTGCTTTGTTCCTGCCACTTAAATGCAATCTCTATGTCTTTCCATATCAGCATACAAAGAGTTCCCTCATTTTTAAGTAGTACAGGCTCTTAATGAATTTACATACTTATTTAATCAGGGCTCTATTGATTAATCTAGATTATCTCCAATTTGTGAGAATAGCTAATGGTCTACTAACATATAAGGGCATATTTGGAAATAAGCCATTCAGTAAATCACCAGCATTGATATCCACAGGTCAAAGGATATGTGTACTTCAAAATTTTTCTAAAATTATTGTAGCAATTCAAATTCTCAGTAAGATTCATGAAAGTGCAGGCTCCCCATCAATTCACCAACTGTAAGGGCTGACAAACTTTAAAMCTTTTCAAGCTTAATGGATAAAAAGTGAGTTTTTGTTGTTTCAATTTRCATTTCTTTCATTGTGACAGGGATTTAGCATCTTTTCATATTTTCAAGCCCACGGAATTTATTTCACTCTAAATTGTCTGCCCATGTAATGTGCCAAATTTGCCATTTTTTTCTACCGCTTCAAATTGTTCTCCAGGAAATAACCACTTTAGCTACAGTCCTGGATCATAAGAGCAACAGGCTAAGTTGGTCAGCGCTGCCCTCYAACTCTAACCAAGTCACTCAGCAAGTCCACCAACTTCTAGCTGGGCAGCAGATGTGGTCCTTTATGTTCTGCTGAAAGGGAAAACCGCTGATTGTCTAAGAGCCCTTCAACTTTCTATTGTGTTTAGTATTTTTTCTTCTGTACTGACAAAACATGAATATATTAGATTGAAGCAGCTGGATAACTTTTTCATTCATTTAGATCAAAACTTAGGAACTCACCGTTAGCATATCGTCACATTTCATATCTGGTGTATCACCATCTTCACTCTTATTGTAGAATTTTCGGAAAAAATTGAATGCCACCACAGTATATAGGTATACGACAACAGCCAATAATCCCACAGTTAATACCAGCTGGAAAGCAAYATGACATTGAACATGTATCAGAAACAGGACTTGTACATCTGGGTGGGAGGACCCCAGTGGCTTTGCCCAGTAGAGGCTAATGATGCCCATTACCTCTTCCTTCTCACCTTTCTTAGCCCCCGTGGGGAGATGTGTTCACATATCCTCTTCATCAGGTGGTAACACTACCTTATGCAAAACCTGCCTGCCTACCTGGTTAACAAAGGCCCAGGACAGCTGGAGTTGAAACTGAATATAACTTAGCTTCATGTCCAGAGAGAGCMGACACTGTCAATAAGCAGCTCAAAATGTTAATTTCTCTATCTTCTAAATATCAGGAGAAGAAACTTCATGAAATACTTTCCCTCTTTTTATGAGATGGAATTTCTGTAAATAATCCACATTCCTAATAAAGTCCATCTTATTTTTCTTATGATACTAAGAGAGGTTCCAAGTTATTTTCTCTTTCCACCACATTCTAGAATTAAGCAGGAAGTTGTGTTGCTTCTGAAACCTGGGAACACCACTGATAAGGATACATGGTGCACATGTTTCAAAAATAAAGCCAAGAAATCTAGCTTTGTAAACACCAACCAATGATCAATGTGAAAAATTYCATGGCTAATGGCCACAGCTATTCTGAAGGCTAGTTTTCCTCAATGTTTAATTAAGTGCCACAGTTTAAAAGGCCTTCTTTCTGCTTTATATAATCTTTAATTCCCAACTATATGGTTTACATAGATAGATACCTTTAATGGGATATGCATACAGTGTTGAAAATGTGACTTACCAACTGGTAGCAGTGTATTTCTAGTTGTATCACAGAAATTCTAAATATACTAAGACACATTACCTTTATTTGTCCTCTCTCTGATTATAACACAACCCTTCATTCTTGACTGTAACTGTGTATTTATTGTCTACAAAATCAGTTTTACAATTATCTCCAGAATTCATGTTACACTGAYAGAAGGCTTAACTCACTTCTATAAGTGAAGTAAATTTGTGCACAGTTTAACTCTTACGACGATTAAGCTCTCTGTATTTCTGCCWATGAAAATTTGACACTCAAAAGGACACCCAAAACCTTAGAGATTGTCTGAAAGTGGCAGCAGACATCTTGTGTAGAAACAGATCATAGGCTGAGCATCCCCAGCTCTGAACCTGCACTGGGAGCTCGGCATGAAGACGTGCTGRCTGGCGAGTGAGCACAGCAGACCTGTCACTATGCTCGCCATGCATGCCACAGTCACGTTCAGACCACAGAGTGACATGGGTAAGAGCCACCTGCAGGAGCCAAGAGAGCAAAGGATGTATGAAGGAAGCTGCGGTGGACACAGTTCAGGTATTTTGGAGGGACACATTGTTTAAAAATGTGCTGGGTTAGAAGATTCTGGAAAAGGACTCTTATAATCCAATACCTGAGAATGTGTTTCCGCCCAGTGGACACTTGAGAAATAGCAAATGAGTCAACGAATGCACATTTCTGCAACATGATTCAGAGTAACAGAAAGTTTTCACATGAACAACTGATTGCTATAAGCTGATTATCTGAACCTAGACCAGCTTCTTCCAAAAGCCAGTATGATCTTGTCAAGAACGAAACATTCCTTTTTGTTGTTCAATTTAAAAGGAGAGAAAAGTATATAAGATTCCCAGTTTCAACACATCACAGTACATTAAACCACAGCATCTCGTGTTCTATTACTGATACGACCAGTGCGTCAGGGTGCTGYGACCCGTCTGGGTGCCATCTGGGATCCAATGGGGAGACCGATGCATGACGGGCCAAATAATAACTAATTCCTCARTGCTGAACATGTGCTGTTCTAGGTACTATTTGTTTTTATTTAATTTTCACAAAAATCCAAGAAGGGAAGTACTTTCATTATTTTCATTCCAGGAAATAAGGGAGCTGAGATTTAGAAATGTTTGTTAATTCACCCAAGGTCACACAGCTAATTGATCAAGCCAAGGCTGGCATGCAGTTCTGGGCAGCTCTAAATTGTCATTCAAGGGTTCATTGCATTTTTGTTGACTTTATTTGTTGCTTTTTCACTTTCTGCACGGRGAAGAAAAGGATGAACTTTTACCTGTTTGCCATTGTGAGTTACTGATGACAAGATGGTTCTTAAGGTCTTGAATCCCATAGCAATGTCAAGAAGATGAGCAGCAAAAAAAAAGTTGTTATAGTGTCCAAGAACRGACATGGTCATATACCAGGCTAGGTAGAGGAAGGACTAGTAAGAGAAACGGGGAAAGGCACATCAGAAGACAGAAGACRTACCACAGTCAAACGCTATTCTGACATCACCTATTAAAATCACTCCACCTGCCCAGACCATCATTTTATAACCCTAGCCAACTGTAATAGTTCTTCATGTGTTTTATTGAGTTTGTCCTGGAAGGTTCAATGTCACTGAATGGCTTTTCTTACTTATCCTCCCATGGACAAYAATTCATTGACTTACAACTTGATAACAGGGTTTCCCAACCTCAGTACAAGTGCTATCTTGGACCCCCTTTGCTGAGGGGGCTGCCCTGTGCACTATGGGGTGCTTAGCAGCCTCCAACTAGATGCCAACACCACATAGTTGTGACACTGCCAAATGTCCCCTGGGGGCAAAACTGTCTGGGGTTAAGAATCCCTGCTCTAYAATCAACCCAAGAACCAACCAAGTTTTCCTCTTCCTTTTCTCCCTTTCTTTTTATTTATTCATACACAAATCAGTGTTTATTGAGACCTACTAGTTAAGAGAGATTATATGAGGAGTTTTGTTAACCAAGCACCTTGGTTTAACATGAACTCAAATAAGTCTAGGAAAAAAACAAAATACTATCTGATGTCACCAAAGGTTATGGTTAACCCAATAATACCACGGGTAATATCTGTAGAACTCTTATTGATTTTTTTTTTGCATTATAATTCTTAGAGCTCATGTATAATGGCATAATTTGGTGTGAACATATTTATATGYAGAGTTATGAAAAATTGTGCTGTGAATGGGTAATAATGAATATAATGCATTCCACTATTGTCATGTATGAAATAAATAAATAAAAACAATAATATAAAAAAGTTGTAAAACTCTCCAGGAATATRATTAATGTAGATAATTGACTCATGAAGCTAGAACATGTACACATGTTTAGGGAACAGTRCATGAAGCAGAATAAAAATCCTGCGATTGCTTTAACTTTTCTCACTAGTGTTTACTATGCACAAGGCGGGYTTTGCCAGTGGAAAACTTTTGGGAAAAGATAGAAACCTTTGTTATGACCATAACATATCTCAATCTTTGAAAAAGAAAGAAGGAAGAGAATTAGGTGGTGTAGGAGATGTCATGGGCAACATGAGACTGGAGTTAGATAGAGGTCAAGGGGAAGAAGAGAGGGTGGCATTTTAAAGGACGCTGAGATAAGGCTACACAACGAGTGAGCCTGAGAAAGGAATTGGGTTGAGCACTGGGTTCCTGTGTGGGAAGAGCTGGCTGGAAAAGCAGAAGCAGTGGAGGCCCAGAGGCCAAGGTAAGGCACCCGGGCACGTCTCACAGGCTTTGGGAGCCACCAGAGGATCATGAGCAGGATGGTGTTTGTGGAAAGTGGCATTTCAGGAACATTTACTGAGCATGTGCTGAGTGCTGGTCATTGTCCACATCGGCATGCACAGTCTCTCATTTTATTCTAGCAAGATCCCTGACAAGCAGGCATCTTTAGGCTCAATCTATAAAAAAAAAGTAAAGTGAGTTCATTTAAGGTAAGTTTGTCTAAAAGTATTGTAAGAAGTAGAGCCATTCAATCAGGAGATGATGGGACAATTCCCAGCTGAGGTTATTCGAGTCACAAGGAGCAGCCAAGTTGGCAAGGCTGGGAGGGAGAATTACAGAGGACAGGGATGGGAACAAGGTGAGACGAAGCAAATGGACAGAGGCAGGTAATGGAGGGAAAGGAAAAGGCAGAGTCCAAGCTAATAATTTATAGTGTGATAACAAGAGCAAAAATGCCAACAGACAGAGAAAACTGTGGGAGTGGGAGAAGTGGAGGAGAGAGATGATGATGTATTTGCCATGGGACRTTCAGATGGAGGTATCTAGGAGAGGTTGAGGAGAAAGAACAGGTTCGGGCATCAGATAATCAAGGAGATATAAGTAAATGACAAGTAGATTCAAGACTGTGTGTGGATTCCACACCTGGGATGCCAGTTAAATTTCAACAAGAAAGAAAGAATAATTCTAGWATAAGTGTATCCCAGGTGGCATTTGGGACATAATTGTGCTAAAAATAATTTCTTTTTGCTTATATTACATGTCACTGGCAACCCTAGATTTCATCTGGCACCCTAGGCTGTATTTCAGAGAGACACTGTATGACTGAGGGCTAAGCACAGTGRAGAAGTGATTGGCCAAACAGAAGCCACAAAGCTGCAGAAGGCTGAAATCTCGAGGTTCTTTAGACTTCCTCCACTGTCTATCCAGGCCCAAATTCTCTAGAGGACAAGAAAGCTCCATAACAAGGTGGATCTTGTGGACAGACTCCCCTGGGCAAAAGTGGGCTATGCCAGGACTGTGGCCTGTTAGACTGCCCCTAGGGGGCAGAAGGCAGGATGAACTGGCTACTGCAATGGAAAAGACCGGCTGGAACCTCAACAGTTGAAGTTCTGGAAGATATTCAGAGGACATGATTGTGAGCTCTCAGGAGATACCCAGAGTCAGGGCCATGGCTGGGTCAGGCAGGGATGGGGAGAGGAAGGAAAATTTGGAGTGTGTAGCAGCCTTGAGATAGGAGGAAGGAACCAACATATACCCTGAAAATCAGTGCTAAAATTAAAGGATAAAATCTTGGGTAAGAAAATAATAAAGGGGAGACAGAGAGACAAGGTACAGAGGCAAGGAAGGTTTCAGAGTGGCTCCTTGTCCACATTTGGCAGCCACATTTATTTATACCAATAGGTTACATTAGGTCATTAGTACATAACCACATGGTTTAGGGTACCAGTAAGGTTGCTTATGCTGCAGTAACATTTCATAGTTACAATATGTAATGTTAGGAGCTTTGTGCAGTTCTCAAGAAAGTCCACTGTCTGAAGTTACAGTTAGGCAGGCAGCTCCAGAAACACAGGAGCTTGGTGAAACATTGTAGTTWCGCAGCAAATAAATTCTCCTATTCCCAGGAGCTTGATGAGGTTCTAACAGAGTCATCTCAGGRCATTGCCATACCAGCTAGACATAGCACATATATTAGCTACATTATTAGATGCTTAGAGAGATTACAGGGCATTCTGAGGGTGGGAAACAGGGTGCCTGTTACACCCAAGAGTTTTCTCACTGGGGGAACACTTCCCTGTACACTTCCACGGTCAGAATCCCTACAATCTTAGGGATAACTGGTGGTTTTTAGTAACAGGTGATTTTTTTTTTGTTGTCGTTACATTTGAATATACACTCGGGCTCTATCTCTAGTTTCCAAAGATTCTATCATAAAAGAAGGATYASTCAAGAAAAGAAACACAATAACTGAATGTACTTAGTTTGGGGAAAGTTTAAATTTAGTACACTTAAATTTAAAAAAATAAAATAAAATTTAAAAAAATTAACATCTATGACCTCTGAAGTGTACATCTGCTCCACTAAAACCTGAAATAAAATGTATGTGAGTTGCATCTCAGTTGCTTTTCCTTATGTAAATATCTTTACCCTTTAACCTTTCAGCTTTGGGAAGAAACAGAAGGAGAGATGGGCTGTGGATCTCTCAAATAYGGTCTGTATTAAACACACTGATATTTGAATAAATGCCTTAAACAACTGTCCTTCCCTCTGCAGAAATCCCAGACTCATCTCAGCTGTTGGGTGATAACAAGCACTTACGTTGTCAGTAAAAACAACTCCCAATTTCCACATCTGATACTTCACATCGATGGAATTCAGTCTGGAAAGACAAAGAGAGAAGAACGTGTAGGTAAACATTAATCAAAGGCCCTAAGGAAGCACAGAGGCAGAGGGGTCTGCAGTGTCCTCCTCAGGAAGCCTAGCAGCCCCCCTGGGAGCTGGCGCTACCCACACAGGTGYAGGGAGAAGAGCAGAGACCTGCTCCTAGGACACCCCTGTCCTGGGATGCTTCTTTAGTGGGATCTTGGAAAGCAAAACAAAAGAGCACCACCTCACCTTCTGCTACTCACAAATAGCTTTTCTTCTTCACTTTTCCTTTCCTTCATTAAATATAAGCTAACCTTATTATATATATGACATTTATTCCTGAAAACTGTACTCAATTAACCAATGTGTGTACTTCAAAAGTTTCCTTACTAACCTCCATTATTCATTCATAATTGCATTCCAACAGTGATTTTTTTGGTTCAAATAATAAAAACTTACATACTWGTTATACCCTTATTTCACAGCTGAATTTATTTTGTAAATGAAATGAGGTTTTTGCTGTTATTTCCTTTTGTTTTTGCTAACCTTGCCTTCTCTGTTTCCACTCAGGCAGGAGCGAGGCCCCTCTCTGGTTGCCAGTGTCTCCTGGGTGCTGAAGGAGAGGGCTGCGGTAGCCTGCCTGTGAGGGTGCCTCTCACTGGTCTGTGAACTCCTGGCACCCAGCACAGCTTCTCACAYGTTAACTGTCTCTCAATGAATACATTTCAAATTAATAAGTCTGGGCATGAATATCCATAATCTTTGCAGATCAAAATACATAATGAGATATGCTTGCTTTTTCTCATATTTTTTAGTCTTGTCACCGATTTATGTGCTAGAATTTTTGATAACTTTGTCAGCCTTTCAGTCTCCCAGTCCCAGTGACATGTTAGGATGTGAAAGGGCCCAACGTAGTGTAATGGGCAGTGCTACTTTACGAAGAGCCTCTCTAGACTTAACATTGAAATCTTAACTTCCTCTACTTGGGCAACCTTACTATGTGATGACAAGCAGTTGCTCAAAGATATACAAGATTTTTTCTTTTAAGAGTGAAGGTTTTATTTACCTTAGCCCAGCATATTTTTTTAAGGAAATAAAGTTATCTTTGAATCACAGTTAATTTTATTATTACAGGAGCCTTTTTAAAAAGTATTTAAAAGATACTGTGTCCAACTGCAACTAAAAAATATTTTWAAAAAATGTTCTATAAATATTCACAATAGGTTTCCATATAACAATAATTTCTCTTAAATAAAAAAAAAAAGAAGAGCTGGAACAAAAACAATGGGGAAATCTGGAGGAGCACAGTTATTTTCCATGAAAGCCATCAAAAGCAAAATCAAGGTTTCTATCAGGATGTCTGAATTTTGCATAGTATTTCTGACTTCATTTAAAAATTCTTTTCTGGTTGGTATTTCCCCCCACCCCTGTCACACTGATGGCGAGTTACTGCCACTATCACTAAGCACCTCTCCCCACTGTGGCGAAGGATCCCTCTTTTGTACTAACTCTAGCAGCCATGTGACCCYACCCTAGGGAGGCACCAAAGCTGACCCAGGCCAAGCAGTCTAGGCCTTCCCTGGGCACAGGCCTCAGTTCACAGTAAACTACAGCTAGAAGGTGGGGCCTTGCTGTAGATGACAATCTAACACAAAGGCCTCAGTTCCCAAGGGCCTRTCTTTCATTTTATACACAGTGACATGTCTTTAAATGCCACATTTGTCCTCCTAAAAAACCTATCTAATATTCTGGATCTAAGTACACAGTTTCTGATACTTGGTTGCTTGTCTAATCACTTTTCAACTGAGGTCACTTTTTTTTTTTTGACATAAAAAGCACACAACCAATGAACTAGGTCAGGCAAAATCTTTTTAATGCTAGCTGAAATATTTATCTGAGACAAAATAATATTTCCTTACAGAACCATAAATATTTGTTTTCAAAGCATTCATCACTTCCATAATTGACTGAGACCATAAATACACACAAAAGGAAGGCTGGGCTAGGTCGTGGCTTAGTGGCGGAGCCCTGGGTTCAACCAAAGCTCCTGTGCATACACATACACACAAACAATTGATGTGGCTTKTCCCAAAAAATATTGTTAAATGGAGACAATAAGAGGTGACATTTTAAAAGCATTTGTGCTTTGCTTCCATTCCAGAAGTTCAGTTGATAAATTTGCTACATAAATAGATATACGTACACCGCATATATTTGTGTGTGAGTGAGAATGAGAGAGATTGATTGATTCAGTTGGGGAAATTCAATTCAACTGGCATATAACTTCTAGTTATATTATTATTCCATGAGAATACTACACAAATAATCCTTCATTTTGAAGTAAGATTTCCAAATAATAGTATGATAATGTTGTGTTTTTGGCATACTAATGCTTTGCTATTTTAAAAGATACAATAATTACAATAAAAAGATATGAACTGTGAAATTTTTAAATAAAAATTTAAAATAGTCTCTGTTTCTACGTAGTCTCTGTTTTTAAATCAGGATAATCAACTAATTTTCAAATAAACATCAGAAAACAGCTAAACATGCTTTTGCATATGTTTGACTTAAAGGGCAATTAACGTTAGAAAAAAACAATTTAAGTTAAGAAGTTGAATATTCTATTTTTCCAAATAAGAAAAAAAGGCATTTTCAAAATTTAATAGAAGGGCTGTGGTTGTGGCTCAGTGGTAGAGCGCTCCCCTAGCATGTGTGAGGCCCTGGGTTCAATCCTCAGCACCACATAAAAGATAAATAAATAAAGTTGTGTGTCCATCTACAGCTAAAAAGTATTTTTTAAAAATCTAATAGAAAAATATCCAATCATTCCAGAGCTCCACATAGCAGGAGCATGAAAGTGGACCCCATGCGCACCCTGTTCTCCTCCTCGGCCTGCTCTTCTGAGGCTGAGGGAAGGGGTCAACGGAGGCCAAGGCACCATGCTCCTCCTGACAACCTCCCACCTGCAGACAGAGCAGAAGCTGCACTCACACGGCTGACAAGGAGCTGTCTTTTTTTGGCTTCTTCTTCTCTCTGGCATCACTGAAGTCCAATGCAGCCTTGTCCATTCCTAGTAACTCGCTGATCCTGTCTCGACCATAGAACTCGCCATATTTATCCATAACCTATAGTAAGAGAAGAAGCACTTTATTGGCTAAAACCATTAAGTAACACCACTGTGTGTGTGTGTGTGTGTGTGTAAATATTTCATTATTTTTACACTTCCTCTGTATTTTCCATGTTTTGAAGACCACACAAATACCTAGTCTACAGCCCTCTTTCTGACCACTTTGCTACAGGTCTAAGCAAACCTAGAGCATTGTACGTAATAACTGAGGAACAAGAGGTCTCGTTCCAGAGAAGGAGGCCCACCAAAGGAAGATGGTGGACTAGAGAAAAAGGGTCAGCAGAAGGTAATATAAGGAAAGCAATCTTCAAATTCATACTTTGTGGTAGGAATTTGCCTCATTCCATGTAACTGTCACAATAAGTTTTACACTTTATAATATGAAAAATGCTTATTTTCAGCATCCTATTTTGCAGATAAAGAAACTTTCTTACCAAACTTAACATAATGTGCCTGAGGCTGCAAACCTTAGCAAGGGATGGGGCCAGCAGCATCCAGACAGAGCCTTACTCCCAGCCAAAGGTCCTCTGCATGGACCCCTGATGCCACAAGAATGGACATCATAGTCTCCATTTCAGCCACTCCACTCTAACCAAAGTCCCCTTCCCACCTGGCCCCCCTCAGTGTCCTGATGCAGCCATCCTTCAGTAACTCGAAGACCTGCAAGCTTGTCACTGTCCCTCTGCTCTCCTCTCCTGTGTAAATGCTCACCTAGGACAGATGCTGGGTGCATTTACCCAACATTCCCTCAGCTTCCGGGCCATGTCTCCTGCACCACCACTGCCTGGCTTTCCCATTCCTTGTTTTGAGATTTGCACTTGAACATGACTCACAGCTCACCCTAGAGCCCAGGACGCCCAGCTCTGTATGTAATAGAGTACCCCAGCCTGAAGTTCGTGTGCCATGCACAAGAGTCCCACACAACAGTGAAGAGGGAGCGAATGGGGAACATCATGAAAGAAAGGCAAGAGGAGACCTCATGGGAACAAAGAGGCAAAGAGGAGCCAAGAAGCAGGGGAAGAGGTGTGCAGGAGAAGCGGACGAAGCAAGAAGAGGGAAGGGGATTGGGAACAAGGGGAGCACTTAGAGCAGATGGAGAAAGAAATAGAAATGAAAAGGAAGGGTTGCAGAAATTTTAAAATGGACTTTTCGAAATGGGTACAATGAACTGAATGAATACATAAAAGAACAATGGTAGCTAAGAAGTCTAAGAATGTGTGCCATTTGGATAATTAAAACAACTTGGTTTGCATTATCCTCACAGTGCTAAGAACTGGCCCATCGGACCTGGGTGGATGGAGGAACTCTAGATAGGGCAAAGGGGAGGGAAGGGAAGAGAGGAGGCAAGGGGCTAGGAATGATGGTGGAATGAGTTAGACATCATTACTCTAAGTACACATATAAGACACAAATTGTGTGAAAATACTTTGGTTACAATCAGCATCTTGAAAAATTGTACTCTATATGAGAACTGCATTCTGTCATCATGTATAACAAATAATAATAATAATAAAGTCCACAAGAGTGGAAAAAAAAAAGTTCCTAGTCAACTTAGCTCTTCCAGACAATTTCAGAGAAAATTCTTACCAAATCTTGGTACTATTATGGACTTTACACATTGATTCAGCTGAGTCTAGGGATGAGTGGATGAAGCAAAGTCTATTTATATTGGAGCTGCAGAGTCCATATTTCTCATGTGCTATTCTAAAAGTTCATATTCCATTCGAATGCCACTTTGAAATAATATTACCAGGCAGATATAACTCACCTCAATATCTCATTCTAAATATAAACAACATCAAATTCAAATCTGATTTGCACTTATAAAAAAGCAGAGAATGTATTCTTTCTAAAGAGTATTACCTTTCTTTTAACAAATTTATCCCAGTAGTTGTTGGGAAATGACCTAAAAAACATAAAATCATAAAAGTTAAATACATTTTAAACAATAATAGCATATCATTTGAAATGAACGATATGTAAACATAATTCTTGCACATGAAAGTATAATGATCTAGGTTACCGTTTTATTTTCTTTATCACCAGAACTGTCAATATTATTTTGAGTATTAATATATAAGCATRTGCGCAGACAAATCACATTAAAAAGATTATGGGTTGATATGTTAACAGAGGATAATATAATCATATTTATTAATAAGTAATATATTTATCATTTGTTTATAACATATAAATACATTGACTATTGTCAGTTCTCTTTAAAAATCAAAGCATTTGGATCAAAGCAGTCATTGTTTCGTCCTATGAAGTAAAAAGGTGTTTTTCCTACCGGTTACCCTCAAAGAAACATTAAGCCCAGCACTCAACTCTGACTTTGGCACTGCACCTTGACTGACAGAGTTTACTAAAAGGGACCAACGATCAGAGTTAGTATTAAGGGGCAGATTTGCTAAAGAAAACATTTAACATTCAGAGCAAGCACATAAAATGCACAAATAAATCATTCCCACTGGAAAATTCAGAACCTACTGCACATTGTAGCTCTGGAACAATAAGCAAAACTAGTCTTAATAAATAAGGTATTTCACTCTTGAGATTAACTACTCAAAAAGTATTGTTACTAATACTTTTTTTGGTGGAAAATCACATTGCAGTGGATATATACCTCAAGCAGCCACTAGTCATTTGGGTTTGACTTCATAAGACTAAATAACCAATGAATAGAGAGGTCCTTGTTCTTCTCTCTCACATTTTACATCTTCTCATAACACTGAGCTGGGATTATCTAAAGCTCCCTGGTGGTACCAACGGAAAGTTTATAACTCAGATATAGTAAAAGTGTGAAATTTAGTGTTTGTGCTTCAGTGAGACTCCTCTTTTCTTAATGCACATTTTCTGCTTCTCAGCTTTTGGGTGAGATAGCTCTGCACTGCAGCTTATACCTACCTACCACACACTTCTCTGGATACCAGGTAATGGATGTGAAGTCCCATCAGTGCTGCAGAAATAGCCTCAGAGCTCTTTCTGATTAAGAACTGGGAACACAGAGGGCATTCATTGGGAGGCTGATGCACTTACTTTTTATTTTCTTGGCTGAATATATAACTACCATTCACTTGTGCTAAACTTTTAACAAATCTATATGAACTGCAGGAAAATGTTTTTATGTCTTAAATTTTCTAAGCACAGAGCTGTCTCTTAAAATTCTTTACTTACTGTGTGTTGATTACAAGTCTATCCCACTGGCCTTTAATATCATCTTCTGAAGGCTGCTCTGTAATATAAAGCCCATCAAATTCCAATTTTCGTGCTACTTCCTTTTCTCGTTTAAAAATAACTAATGGGACCTACAGAGGAAAAATAAACATGGTAAAATTAGCTTAGATTTACTGGCATCTCCTGTGGTCGCTATCTTTGCAAAACAGCTTTTGGGAAAAAAAATTTCCCATGGACTTTCAGGAAGGTAAAAATGGAATAAAAATGAATCAGTTACTTTTAGGTACAAAGAAACATCTAGAAAGTTTTGGGAAAAACAAGATAGAATAGATATTTTAAAGATTCATGTGTTTTAAGTACACAGGGGTTCATAGATACTTGTACTGATGGCACCAGTCTAAAGAGAAAAAGGTGACTAGGCAAAAATTTTCATATATTATAATATATACACACACACACACACACACACACACACACATATATCAATGTGAATGAATGCAAAAGAATTAAACAACCATATTAATGTTCTAAAATGTATGTTGACAATTGCAGAGTTTTATAATAAATCTCTTTAATTATTCCACATTCAACATGTCTACATGCTATCTAGAGATAAATGTTAATTTCAGCATCAGCAAAAATCTTTTGTCAGTTTTTCAAGATGTCTCCAGGATCTACTGATACTCTCCTGTGGACAAACCTTATGCAGGCACAGATACAGGAGTAATGCAGATGTTCTGGAAGTACTCAAAGAATATGCAGCTCCATACAACAAGGGGGAAAAAGGAAAGACAATTTACTGAACAGATTCTCTATACTCTAATCTGTTATCCTGAGCCCTGGTTTTTCAAAAGTCTTCTGGAAGCAGTATAACCAGAGGCAAAGGACAGTGAAATAAAGGCACTGTAGTAACAAGGGTCTAGCCGAGAAAAGATGACCAGCTGTGAACAGGTAGCCCTGAACACTCAAAGACTACCTTGAAATCTATTCACCACATCTCATTACTCCCTTGGCAAGGCTTTAGGGATAAAGCCATGTTATTTTCTAAGTGAAGTGACACAAAAAAGCATTTCTGCCAAGGATAACAAATGATATTTATCTAGTAACAGAACAATGAAAATGTCTCATGGATATTTGCAGGAGTTCTAATGAATTGGAGCCCTACCATGAGACACAGTGGGTGGGTGGGCTTATTTGTATGGGCTCCTGTGGTAGGTAAAACTGTCCATCACATGAGTAATTCTTAACAGGTAAAAGAAAGCTGCAAGAAGACATGCCCTTTCCAGACAGCATGCAACCAACGGCTGGTCAGTGCAGATACAGAAAGACCAGGCTCCCAAGCCCCAGGCCCAGACACCCCTGCAGGAGCATCCTAGCCTCAGAAATGGATTCCTATGGCTTCACCTGGCCATGTCTGCACCATAGACCAACCTTCCTCTCAGCCCCATCCTGTCTTGCCCTGCCCACAGGTGAGGATGCCCATCACATTCCCAAATGAACTTCGTAATCTCCACCTCAGAAATGGCTTCTGCAGAAGTCCAGTCTCCAACATGCACACACAGACAGGCACATACCCGGGTCCTGTGCCTTGCTGTGTTACCTTCAGGCAGTAATATCCAATGATACAGAAGAAAGAGATGACCGTGTGGAGAATGGCGAGGATGCGCAGCGTGGGCTCCATGTAGCCGCTGCTCTCCTCCAGCACGTAATGGACTGCGGTGATCCTGTGTGAGCTGCTGTCCAGGCTGGTGGTGACTTTTGCATTTTCACTGGAGCTTCGAGTGGGCAGCTCCTTCCCTTCAGCCACAGAGGAAGTGGAGACCTGATTCRAACCAAGTATACAGAGTGAGTCTGTTGCATGCAAGGAGGCCTTGCCAGCCAGACCTAAGGCAGACACAGCCTAGCTAGCAAACAGTGGATGTATAGACACTGCACAGCGGAAAGACTAAGAGCAAAGACTAACAGGAGAGCTTTCCAACACCAAAGGCAAGCAACAAATATGAAGTCCATTCTAACCCAACCAAGAGCTATAAGGCTCCAATGCAAATAGAAAATAATTAGATGTCTGATTTCACAATTACCCAAAATAATTTGTTTTAACACAGTTCATGCCACAGCCAGCTGCAGTAATAAGTAGGTATTCACCCAAATGACCCTGGGACCCCCAGGTATAAGCCTCCTGCTAAATCAAATGCTGTTTCAGTTGAAGCCCACTGAGACACTTCTCTACTCCAAGGCACAAATCTATGCTGCCTTCCTGGGCACAGTGATGGGCTTGGCTCCCTTTCCTCTCTCATTTGGAACAGGATTAGGTATGCACACTAGTGGACCTGTGAAATTTATACACTCATTTGGTCTGTTTGTGCTCTCATATTGGTCATTAAAACCCCAATCGTGCTTACCTTGTAAAAGAGCAAGATGAAATTGATGGCAAACGCGACAAACAAGGCCAGCATTCTCATGTTGTAGAAGTTGCGTGCAAAATAGTTCTGAGGGTGAAAAAGTTATAAAATGTCACTGAATTGAGAGACCTGGAATCTACAGACCGCTTAAATAATGTATTCGCTCATTTAATCCAAACCTGCAGACAATTTACAGAAAGCCTTCCTTCATTTGCCCTAGACCAACACTATGGGTTGAATACCATTCTTGGTGCTGTAGAAACACAGTGTAGGAGTGAGTATTGTCACCATGGAGAGAATGAAGGAGCACAATGCCAAATAAGACAGTGTCAGGGRATGCTAAATGCTATGAGGAAAAATATATCCAGTTAAGGGATTAGGGAGGGGATGGGATTTGGGACAGCTGGTCAGGGACGGTTTATCTCAGGAGGCACCTGGAGCATAGCCCTGAATGCACATGTCAGAGACAGGAGCAGCAAGGGTGGCTGCGAGTGAAGGGCGGTGGTGGTGGGTTTGGGGAACAGTGTGAAGGACGCATGTGAGAACAGACCAGATGGAGGCAGGAATATACAGGGTCAGGCCGGCAGGAGTCTGGGTACTGAAGGCTACTTACTGATATAAGTTTACAATGCAGTGGTTCATGACATCTGAACCAATCCATGACCCTGGGACCACAATGCCTGGATATGAAGCCTGTCCATACCACTGGAATGTGGACCAGTAACTTAAACCTTGCCAGGGCAACAGTTTTCTTATCTATGATGTTAAGAATAATAAAAAAAGCTGCTTCATAAGTGTACTTTGAGGATCACAATCATAATATAAGGAAAGACAGTTGTTGATTTTGTTTGTTTGCTTATTTATTTATTGGTACCAGGGATTGAACCCAGGGGTGCTTACCACTGAACAATACCTCCAGCCCTTTTTATTATTTTTTAAATTTTGAGACAGGGTCTTGGTGAGTTGCTTAGGGCCTCCCTACCTTACTGGGACTGGTTTCAACTTGCAATCCTGCTTCAGTCTCCCTAGTTGCTGGGATTAAGGAGTGCACTATTATGTCCAGCTTAAATTCTATTATATACAATATATATAGTTATTAAAATGATAAGATTACTAGTAGGAGCCTTATTATTGTTCCTAAGTAATGTAATGTTACTATATTACCATGACTATTTTATTCCATATGGGATGAGAAGCCATGAGGGGCTTCAAGGAAGTCTTTGTGCAATCCTGTTGTGCTTAGAATCACTCCAGATGCTGAGGATGATAGGTAGTAATGGGGCAGGAGTTGAAGCAAGGGGAGCAGTTAGGAAGTTCTCATAGGACTGCAGAAAGAGTGATATTGATGAGGTGGCTTCACTTTGGTGGTGGCCATGGTCATGGTAAGAACTGGGCAGGTTCTGGAAGTATTTGGGAGGAAGACTGTACATGAGGTGAGAGAGACTTGAAGATGACATCTTCTGAATTTGGGGAGCTGAGCAACTAAGAGAAAGGTTGGTAAGCCTTACTGATTTGGAAAACAAACAATACAACCTAGAAGATACGAGTTTAAGGGAATAGGCTATGTGGAAGTCAAGTATTTGTTTAATATTAAGTGGGAGCTATATGCAGCTATGCCAGGGGCAACATGAAGCCAGAGCAAAGTAATCACACCTCTCAAAATCCCCTGTGTGTGCACTCCATCTCTGTTGGGGTCAGTTCCCCACAGGAACACCATCTTTACTGCCACAGTGTAGTGGACCATGATTGGCCATCAAACTGGGCCAGGTGCACTGGTTCTCCTTGGAAGGTGGAACTAGGTCACAGAGACCGAGTTAGCTAATGCTGGCTGTCTGAGCAGGATGGTCACAAAGACTCGGAAGAGAGGGGACCTGTGGTGGCCTCATGTGGCTGTGTTTAGTCTTATGCATGCAGACTGCTGAGCAAGAACATCAACTGAAAAGAGATCAGGAAAACAGAGAAGCTGTACAGAGACAAGAGAACACGTGACTCCTGAGACAGAAAGAGAGAAGGAATACCTCAACTGCCTGGTTTATTCAGTGCAGTTAAACATCGTCCTGGCCTCCCGTAGGGTGCAGTGGAGCCCATTCCACCTCTAAACCATCTATAATAGAGCTATACCTGCTGCGATGGCAACCACAATAGTGTATCAACTTAACAATTAATCATCCAGAGTTATCTAGAAAACATCTGTGTTCAAATGAACTTTGTAATAAACAGTATGGGAAAAGTATAAGTTGGAGACTACTTCTTCAATATGTGTATGTCCCTACATAAAGAACTGTCTTCTCCATTTTAATTTTATTTGTTGTATTCAAAGAATAATTTAGGGTTATCCTCAATGGAAAGCTCATTAATATTTTTATAATTAGATTTTTAATTTTATAATTAGATTTATAATTTTAAATAAAATTGTGATTTTATAGAAATATGGACTAGTCCAGTTTTGGAACTTCACTTGGAATTACTTATAACTTAGGAGGCCCTAATCAATGATAGGGCCTCAGAATCTATGTACTGGCTGCCCTCGATTGAGTCTTGGTGGGAAGATGCTGAGAACACTGTGCTGTGGTCACCAAGCCAGAGGGTCTCTAGTGGTGTGAATATCTATGGGGGCTATAGGCTTAACAGGGAGCAGTGGACCAAAGGCATTCACTGTAAAAAATACACACATAAAATGGCCAGATAAAACACACAGTCAGTCATTCATGTGGTTTCATGAATTCAACCAATCATGAACAAAAAATATTTAGGAAAAAGTTGCCTCTGTGTTAAACATGTACAGACATTTTCTAACATAACAATACAGTATAAAACTTTCCCATAGGCTTTACATTGTGTTAAGAATTATAAGTAGTCTAGAGATGCTTTAAAGTCTACAGGAGAATGTGCACAGGCTAAGAGCACGTACTGCATCCTGTCACACAGAGGACTTAAGCAGCTATAGGGATGGGGGTCCTGCAAGCAAGCTCTGCAGATACTGGGGAGACTGTATTTGCAGGACTGAATGGTTATTCCCTGACAAACCCCCAAGGAAGGTCAGTGAATACTAACTGAATCTGAACTAGTAAGTTCTCATAATAAATCAGTTAAAAAATATCCATTCTTCACATCTTACTAGAAGCTTCTGTTGATAGGCTATGATCTTCTTCCAGAATGCTGACTCAGGAACTTCGGGTTCTCCGTATCTATGTGTGTGAAGCTGCCTGAGCTTCTGTTTGCCCTTTTCTTCTTTGGTTTTCTCCTCTTTCTCTCCATCTTCTCCCCTGTGAGAACAGGTGAGTGAAAGAGAAGCTATTCAGAAAAGGACTAAACTGGTAGCCTAAAACAATACACAAGTGAGCAGATACTTAAGATCATTGGATCACTTCTGAAAACTAATTTCTCTTTCAATGAAGGATAATATTTTGGGGTTTAGAGTCAGGGCAGGATTTCCTGCTGATCACAGGCCCCCATACAAATAATTTGGTGAAGTTCAAATCTAGAGGACATTTTTTTTCAGGCTTAAAGGGTCTTCATATCCATATATAGCAGATTCTCATGGTGCAATAAAGACATTTAATTGAAAAATAGAGTAACAAATTAAAACTTCTTTTTGCTTTTACTTCCAATGTAGCTTATTTTTAAATTATGATTTTAATGTTCAACTTTTTTCATTTAGTCTTTAAAAATTAAAATCAGAGGTCTGTGCATTTGGTTGTTCACATGTATAAAGTATATCAATGTACTGATATACTATTTTTATTTTATTCAACTAATTTTATTAAGTAAAATATATTAATTTTAATATAAATTGTTCATATACGATTATATAATTTCAGACAATAATGGAATTAGAAGGACTGAAATTTTAGGACTTAAACATTTTCTAGCTGCAATGATATCAATCCTTCCTGAAAGTGAACCACAGTACTTGATACATGCATGTGTGTGTAAGCTCTCCTTGATGCGCATGAGGCACACCTAACAGCAGCTTAACATTAGGTAAAGAGCTYCCATGGAAATGCCTGCCATGTGGTTACACAGGCCCACATTTCACTCTGGCAGTCAGTTAGGAGTCCATCTGTCCAGCCGATCCAACAGTGTCAGATCCACAACAATGAAGAGTGTTAACTACGGAGAATATGCAATAAGAAGGGTCCAGAGAAAATAACAAGAGGGAGAAGAAAAATAAGATGCTAATGTGAGAAAAGTGGCAATATAGGTGTCTAAAAACTATAATTCTTTCCCACGTTTTTCAAATTGCACACAGGAGATGACAGGAAGTTGGGGACAGCTGGAGGCTTTGACTGCTGACACACAGCCAGTGTTAAGAGGGGGCTGTGCACCTCACTGCTGCATCCAGCTGTTTGTTTCCTGGTGCTGCATTCATAGGTATGCTCCCAGTGCCAGGTGTTGCTGAAAATGCAGGTTCCAAGGCTCCACACCAGCCCTGGGAGTCAGTCTCTAGGGTGAGGCCCAGGAACCCGTGTTCTTAACAAATTCCCCAGGGTGCTTCTCATGCTGTGGACCTGGGACTATCTGCTGAGGATTACCCTCCACAGGATTCAATGAAACCCATCTGGAATGTTCATTTCCTCCCTTCTCTAAAAGAACAGAAAGACATGTGTGAGCTTAAAGACTGAAATTAATCAACCAGTCACGGAGGAAGTGTTCACAGACTCTCTAGAGCCTAGTGCTGAGAGAGAATCACATAAATGGAATCCTCATGGAGCAGAGGAAGATGGAATGGCAATCCTGCTAGGCTCTACCCTGATGCCTGCAAAGAACCCAAGTCCTCACAGTCACAACCTCATGGCTGAGACGGTAGATTTGGTCACACAGCTCCTCTGCAGGGTCAGATTCTCCATGACACCTCCCATACAGGGAGGATAAGAAAGAGACTTTCTGAAACAAAGGAACATACAGGGACTATACATACTCGGCCTTTTCAGGTTCGGATTTGGTCTCTTCCTTCTCTTCCTTTTCTTCTTCTTTTGCCTTCTGTTCCTAGAATAAGCCAATTGAGAAAAGAAAAGCAGGATTGAACATCACCTGTGAATACAGTTATGGGGCTTGGGGCCAGTTGACCACATCCAAATGATATCCAACACAGAACACCCTCTTCCTTACACTGAGATAACAGGTCCACACATGCCTTGTATTCTGATGGTTTACACACTTCTCCCTCTGCACACAGTATGAACTTTCTGGGCTTCCTTCTTCTACTCTCTTTTCTCATTTCAGATATATTGTGTGTGTGTGTGTGTGTGTGTGTGTGTGTGTGTGTGTGTGTATTTTGAATCCAAAGGTACTATATTATTGAGCCACATCCCCAGCCCTTTTTATGTTTCTGAGACAGGGTCTTGCTAGGTTGTTTAGGGCCTTACTAAGTTGCTAAGGCTAGCCTGAACTTGAGATCCTCCTGACTTAGCCTCCCCAGTCACTGGGATTACCAGCATGTGCCACTGCACCCAGCTAGAAATATTCTTTTTACCTTATCCATCTACTCAAATCTTACTCATTCTTCAAGACCAATATAATCCCCACCTCTTTTTTTGTGGATGCAGGGAGGTACCAGGGATTGAACTCAGGATATTTGACCACTGAGCCATCCCTAGCCCTATTTTGTATTTTATTTAGAGACAGGATCTCACTGAATTGCTTAGCACTTCACCATTGGTGAGGCTGACTTTGAACTTGTGATCCTCCTGTCACAGCCTTTCGAGCCACTGGGATTGTATGCATGTGCCACTGTGCCCATTAATCCCCACCTCTTAATTGTCACCAATCTACTTTAAGCCACTCTGGTGTGTGCATTATTTAACATATGCAACCCATACAGCCCCCTGACTACCCTATTTAACAGTCAGTACTTTCTAGTCACTTAATGCATGTTAGTTCCATCTCTGTGAAGACAATGCTGAAGGCCATTTGAAAGCAACACCCTCCTATGACCCCAATATTGTCAGACTCAGTGCTGTTGAAGTCCTGGACAGACGGGGGCTCAATGGACTAATGTCACCAGGGTATACACTCAACCTTAATGGTTAAAGGGGATTAAAATAATTTGTAAGGAATCTTAAAGGGGCTAGCTCTGCTACCAAAACGCCATTTCTTCCTGGGAGATTCAAGTTCAGGTGTTCAACTCGGCTCTATCTCCAGCAGGAAACCTGGCATAAGGGTCATTTGTGGTACCCACCTGAGGTCAGAGAAAGAGTGGCCAGAACACAGAGATAAAGTACCTGAAACTTCTCTTGCATCTCAGGGAGGGGGACGGGGCTGCTCAACAGGTCGCCGAGGCCGGCATTGGGGTTGTGGGGAATGAGCTTGTACTGCCCTCCTTCTCGCTTCAGATCCAGGCCAAAGATGTCTGAGAGAAGGTCGCTTTCCTCCGTCAGCTCCTTCAAGTCTGTCAGATCCTCAGAGGGCAGGGCGGCCTCCAGGGGCTTCCTCTCCCCCTCCTCTCCGTCTCCTCGCACCTCGTCCTGAGTAGGGTCCGGCATGTTGGCCAGAAGCTCTGCGACTTTGATTTTTTTGGCCCCTTCCACGAGGCTTCCTCCGAGCAGCAGGCTACAGACGATGCGGAAGAAGCCTCTGCAGACGCTGGCCACGAAGTGCAGCAGTGTCAGGAAGACACTGCAGTAGGAGGAGAAGAAAGCCGTGACCATGTCCCTCACCGTCATCTTCTTCACCTTCTTCATCTGCTTCTTGAGGCTCTTGAGACTGAGCATGCGCATCAGGCTCAGCACATTGTATCTGAGCGCCAACAGGGCCGACCTGACCGTCAGGATGGAAAAGAAGCCCATTCGGGGGCCCTGCTCCTCTGGCCTGTCCTTCTCACTGTCCTCCTTATTGGCTGAGCGCTCATTCAGGTCCGACTCGGAGATCTGGGCTGCCAGCTGCATCTCGAAGATGGTGTCCTCACAGAAGTTGACGAACAGCTCCATCTTCTCCTTTTCCCCTCCCTCGTTGACCACGTCGAAAATGAACTGCCTCTTGGACTCCTTGACCTGCGGCTTCTCCCACTGGGTGCGGCTCGACTCGCTGATCTCGAAGTACACCCTCTCGATGCGCTTGGCACTACCCATGATCTCGATGCGGCCCAGGAAGGGCTGGAAGTAGTTGAGCACGCTTTCTGCCAGCTCCAGGAAGGTCTGCAGCCGAGTGTCGTTGGGCATGTGCTCGGAGAGGTTGGTCAGGAGGACGGCGACATTGAAGCCAATGTCCTTGGCCGGCTCGTGGAACCGTTTGACAAACTCCTCGTAATCCAGCGTCTCGTTTTCATCAGTCTCTGCACAAGACAGAAGAAACTCTGTTTCCGACTGGGTGTAGTGCTTGTGGCTCTCCATAGCTTTGTGGAAGTCCCTCTTGGAAATGACACCTTTACCATCAGGGTCATACTCCTTAAATGTGTCCGAGGATGTCAAGTCCTTCAGTTTGAGAAACATGTCGAAAAACTTGAGAATCATCTCCACGTTGTTGGAAGATTCCACCAGCATGTCCACCATCTGCTTGCCGATGGTCCCATTCACCACATTACCTGGTGGGAAAGCAATTGTGTTTGCAAAATGAACATTCTTGACAAAACATGTACCTGTAGAGGGAATGGCAACATAGTTATAACACCTGGAGGGAGGGAGTCTCTGATCATCTCCCAGTGGATGAGTCTCAGTAAATGATTGAAGATTATTCTTGCACACACATAAAACCACATTCACAAAGTAATTAGGGAAATATGTAAAATAGTTTAATAACAGTTGACTTTTGCCCCCTCAAATTAATCAAATAAACAGGTGTCGGATTAAAAAAAAAAATGAACCAAACAGCCCCAAACTGAAATCTAGTCTCGTATTAATAATAAAAATGAACATTGATTCAGTCCTTTAGGGTTGAAAATCACTATCAAAGACAATGTCTGATTGGATGCTCTTCTTTCTGTAAGGCAGGAACTTTTTACTAATCCTGATTCTACAGATGAGGTAACTGAGGTTTAGCAAGGCCAAATTAATATGACCATAAGACTTAGTGTCAGGACTTCAGATCCTCTGATGGCAAATTCTATGCCCTTTCTGATTCCCAATGGTAATACCTTCCTCCCACTCTTCATGGTCCACAGTGCTTATAGTTAGAAAAGAGCAGGTTACTGATAACCTTGAGAAAATTAGATACTATTCTGCATTATAGAATCACAGTCTGCTTTCATCCCTTGGACAGAATGTGTTACATGTCATATGACAAAACACACGTGGTAGAAAACGTGCCTGGGGAGAGGTCGGTGTAGTCTATCTGTGCAGCAGTGAACAAGGGACGGCTAAGACCTAGAGCCACAGTGATGGAACAGTTCCAGGCTCCACAAGCCCAGAGAGCTAGCCTCTTGGCACCTTTGTGTCCTCCTTGGTAAAGCCTGGGTAGAATACTATCAAACTCTTAGGCCTGTCGTTAGGATTAGGTAAACACCAAGCCAGTATTGGCACATTATGAGAGATTAGTTTCAATTTATTGCTGCTGCTTCACTTACTAGTATTTTAAACCAAAATTCGGTCATGAATGGAGCCTGTGTTTAGAGAGTGAAAAACTGCTCCTGCTGCTGCCAATCATGGGGTTTTAAGAAACGCTGCATCTTTGAACTCCCAGCACAGGCTGGACAACTTCCTTAGCTTACCAAAGTGGAGTTGTTCCATGCCTGGCAGACAGAGAGAGGGAGACACACAGAGAATGCATAAGAAGGAATTAAGGAAGGACGAGAGATAACACAACACCAAGCATTTCTTAGTTGCTTTGGTTCTGTTTAAGTGATTTCACCAAAGTCTCACATCAGTCAAACATTACCTCTTTTTTTTTGGAGGAGGACACTGAAAAATGGAAACCTAACTAGTCCAAGGGTCCCACTGTCGGGAAGCAGAAACTTAGGCTGCAGGTTTGGAGCCCAGGCTCTTCACCATCATGCCTGACACAGAAAGGTAATGCAAGAGCAAAGAAAAATAAGTTGGTAAGAGATAGGAGGGCAAATGACAGCTGCAAGGCTCTGTGGGGATCACAAGACAGGATGGGGTCTTCCTACAGCATCTCGTCCTCACCCCTTGCCAAGACTTCAGGAACCCACAGCAGGGATATGCCATCATCTCAAAGTAGAGATTTACACAGCCAATGTCCAAAATCCCCACTTTTATTGTAAAATAACTGACAAAACATTCCTCCTTACATACTGTTAGAGTTAGAAGGTCTGCTCTGTGGGATATCACTGAAGACATGCAGACTGACATACACAGATTTTCCTTTTTATAAAAAAGTAACTTGAGAACAAAAATCATAAAGCCAACAACAGACCCAAGCTCTCCATCAAGCCTTCATGTTATTTTATTCTTCACTGCATGCCGACTCCATAAGTGAACACATATTGATCCTTAAAGAAATAAAGGAAACTTCAAAGTGAAAATAAAAACTACCTTCCAACATGGACAGCAACATGACCACCATATCCTTCTGAAGATCCATTAATTCCTTCAGTAGCTCAATTTGACTGGAATCCTGAAAATATCAACATATTGCTTTTGAGATAACAGGAGAAGAGTCTGCAACAAGAATAGCATACTTATTCTTATAAAAAGGATATGGCTTGCCAATAGCAGACACCTCAATGCATGGCAGAACTAAGGGAAGGCCAGATGTAAGTATTCAGCTTATTACAAAGAGATTTGCTTCAGAATTCAAGCACATTTACTATTGATTCTAACGTATGTACAGCAAAGTATATGTAAGGACTGTGAGTGTGTCAAAGAAGCACACAGGGACACCGGAACCGCAGTGCAGCTCCAATGTCAGATGACACAAGTGCTTCTGCACATTTGACAACTTTTTCACTAGAGAGAATGCATCATTTTCTTTTAACTTCTCAAAGTTATATATGAACATATAAAATTTATTTATTCTATAAAATAGGCATATCAGTGGCATATGAGATAATCTTATCTTACATAAATCTAACCAAAACTGTCTGCTGGTATTACCAACACTGACATAGCAAATACTGACATGTATCCTACTAAACAACGTCATGAAGGTTTCCAGTATTCTCTGGTTTTTGAATTTTTCTGGATTTTGTGTTTGATTATTTGTTTGGATTATGTACCACAAAAAATTTTATTTTACATGGACATGTTGTATCTAAATATCACTATGCTGAGATCCAGTGCCTGCAAGTACAGATCACATAATGAGCTCACACCTCATCCATTTTATTTAAGCTATTTTTTTCAATTTTCCTTTTTTAAAAATTTGTATAAGGTGTCAATTCCCTGGGGTTTGCTGCGTATAAAGGTAAATATCTGCACGGCATGAGACTCTCTACAGTAGCCACCACAACACTGCCTGTGCAAGCCATCAAACCATGGAAATAAATCAAATGAGAGTTCCCTTGTGTGTCAATTTGGTTCATGTCAGTTTCCTACATTTAGTATATGTCATTAGCAATTAAGGTAACATGAGATTTCCGTATATGGCCTATATTAGCAATATCCACATACTGTCATTCTCTCCTTGACTAAACCCTAGCCAGGCTTCTGAGTCCCCTTTCTGATTGGCCTCAGGTGAGCTACACGGACAAGCAGACTCTTAACAGCTCATGGCTGTGTCCCTAAGATGACCCTGATCCTACTTAGAATGCCTACTAGAGAAAATGCAAAGCTGTCCAAAAATGCACCCTTCCAGAGACCACCTGAGGATGGGGCCTCTGTCCCCAAGCCTCCAGCAGAGGACAGATGCCAACTTAGATAATAGCTGGCAGGCATGGCTGGGCTCATCACATCATACTGACCATCCTCCCCCAAGCCTCCACACAGCCTCATCCTTGTTCTCTTATTCTCCATCTACACACCATTCATCCAGCTCCACGTAAGCTGAAGATGAGTTCAGTTCACACCATGTGCTTCTCTGTTATGACAGTTACTACTGACTAAGGTCATTCCTGGCCACTTCAATGTCCAGCTTTGCCCACCTGTGATGATATGCCCCTGTGTACAGGCCGGTGGGTGGGTGAGAGGCCTCAGATGGGAGGGAACCAGCCACACCCATGAGAGGAATGAGTGACATTTTGGGCTCTGGAATGGCAATGTTCTGACTCTCATTCTAGTATTCTTTCTACCTAACCACCTGGCAAATACACCTGACAGATATGCCAGAGCTTGGGATAAGCCATCAAAATTCACAGTATTGAAGGATGCATTTATTCAAGCCTGACATTAAGAGCTGTTCTGTTCATGCATCCTTTGGTCTCCAAGGGAACAGACTTGGAAATGAAAAAACAAGAAGCTGATGGCACTCCCAAATTAATACAAAAACATGGTGGCAAGCCTGTTTATTCTTTATTTACTTATCCTTTAAGCCATTATTTTGACTATCAGAAAGCTAAATTTCCTGGTAATGGGAGAATGTTATCTTAGCTTATTTAGGACCTATAAAAATTGCTTCCCTTTTAACAGGCTATGCATCCTTTTGAAGTTGCCTATGGAGAGAGGAAGATTCCAACAAGTAAACACCAGGGAGCTTGTCTATGAAGATGCTGAAGGGCACAGCGTTCATGGAATCTGCTGTTATATTTCTCCATTACATTCAATTCCTTAATAATCTTTGTTCCCAAATATGAATAAAGAAGTTTTTTAAAAAATCTTTTGATAGGGAATAAAAGGTATATAAAGAAGTGATATTTATACACCTGAAACCTTAAACAAGTGAAATAGATAACATTCAACATAAGAAAGCATGCTTCATTTGCTGCTGATCACAGTGTCACAGTTTGTCAGGTGAGAAGACCCTTTACCTGAGATAACTTCATCTGCATGTGGGCAAACACGTGCAGGAAACCCACCACTGCGTCCCACAGCCTGCTGTGTGCCAGGCTCTGCTGGTTCCCGGTACAAGGACCCTGGAGCAAAGACAGAGCGGTCATTCCTGGCAGCATATTTGCCAAATTCAACTTTAAAATAATAGGGAAAAATGAACTCAAGGTTTACAAATCTTGTTGCTAACATATAATCTAAAAAGTTCAAGCAGGAAACAAAATAGAGATGAAGAAGATATTGGTGCCATGAGAGATAAGCATGTTCTTCTTGAAATGTTCAATAAATCTAAAAAATGTTTCTCAAGGATTTATGTGTCTTATTTCTCTATGAATAATGAAACACTGGCAAAGCAAATTAGTGAATTATTTCATTTTTTTCTGGCTTGCATCTCTCTAGAGAAAGAGGGTAAGGAGCAGGTGATTGGGTTGTTGGGTCAAATCAATTGGTGGCCACTACCTTGTGTGAAAATATGAGAATGCAATCAGAATGAGATGATTATTTCCTCTTCCTAAGCAGTAACCTGGATAAAGCCTTCACCCAGAGGAAAAAAGTCCTCTTCAGAGTTTTCCTAGTTGTACAGCTGTTTCAAAATGGTGCAACCACTGAGGTTTTTAAAAGATAAATACTTGGTCATTAATTTTGTAAACTTCAAATTCAAGGCAATTGTAAACTGATGTAACTTGGGAGGCCACTTGGCTGAGGGATCTGGTGCCAGGGGTTCCTACAAAAGCTAACCCAACCCCCAACTGTGTGTCCACTTAGAGGCTTAAAAGCCAGAAACTCCAACTAAACTCCAACTAGGGACTTTGTGCTTCAACCAATTATATTTTTAATTAATTTTTTTCACTTGCTTTTAAGTACCTCTGGCCTTTGGGTGGCGCTGAGCCACCTGCAGTCAGGAACAGCCAAATGCTCAGATAAACTCAGTGAACTTTAATATGCCTCTGTTTACCTTTCAACAAAACTAGCTCTGCTCTCTGAGCTGACACTTCTGAAGTGATCTTTCCTCAGCAGTGGAGAATGTGTGTGTGGCTGGCAAAATGTTTTGATGCAGACAATTTTCGGTTTTACCTCTTAAGGAAAAATTCTACAATAGTTTAGGTTTTGAACACATCCACATCAACCATGCAAATAGATAACATGGATTTTTTTCAAAGAAAAAAAGGTATYGCTCTTAGCCTCTAATTCATTCATTCTTTCCTTTACACAAAGGACTCATAGTGAGTTTAAATTTGAAAACACATCAAAATGTGTCCATATTTTACTGCAGAAATGAGCGGGAAGATCTGACTGCACTAAAAATACTGAGGAGATGTTGGAGTGGAGCTCGGTCACATCAGCTGTGTGGAGGCCCCGACTCTGGGGAGGAGGCAGAGGAGCCTCTGTGTTACAGGAGCAAGGCGCCAGGCTCAGCTCCCACAGAGGAGGATGCACATAGATCTTGCCACCCTAAGACATTGTGGGGTCAAAGCTGACAAGGGGGACACCTGGGAGAGTGTACCCCATGCACAGCACTCCCTTCAACCCCTGTTCTGGTGGATTCGAAGGCACAAGCTAAAGTGCCAGGTCCCTGAGCTGAAAGGGAGCTACCTATCTGACCTTCAGAGAGATCACCAGAGGCAATAGCCAGACTTCCCAGATATGCCAGCCGCCACAGCAGACTGACACATTTCTGCCTGGATCCTTGCACAGAAAGGCAACTGGGAGTAACCAGAGGCTCCCCATCACTTTCCTAGTGTGCAGTCTCCCAGGCCTGCCTCACAGGGAAAGTGACTTCTCATTGTTTCTCGTTTCTTGATCCCTTCTCTCTATAAAAACAACCTCTTCCACTTGGCTCATTAGAATATTTATTCTTTTATGGAAAGAAGGATTGCCCAATTCTAAAATTAAAAATAAAATCAATTGAGATTTAAACTAAATGGTTTTAAGTTTTGTCCTTTGACACCTTTAAACCTGAGCAAAGGGAGAGGACTGTCTAGGACTTGCTCAACCTCCATCCAGTGGCTTCTTTAGCACCAATAACCAATGTGAAAGGGACGCTGGCCTCTGAGATACTCGGCCTCTGTGGCACACAGACTTTTGTTCTGTGCTGGAAGACAGGGCAGTCTCACTTTCAGAGGGACCTGAGGCAGAGACAGATTAAGCTTTCTCCTTAATTATCCCTGGTCTCACTCTAGGAGCCCTGAAATATGATGTCCTTTTAGTCAAATGATTCTTTTTCTTCTCTTTTATTACAATTGAGGTTGCAATTTTATAAATGATTACTTTACAGCAATGTTTTTCAATCTTCTGCTTATGTTCGATAGTCAGCAAAAATTTGAATAAAAAAGCAAGGTACAATGTTGTAGTCTAAAAGGCAGTCCAAAATATGCATGAAGCTAACGGTGAGCTTGTTTTCATATATTAATATTTATCAGGAAAAGGACACTAAGGCTAGGGTCTCCTAAATGTATCTCACTGAGCAAGACGTAGGAAACTGGACTGGATCCTGGAATAGAAAAACAGCATTGATGGAAAGACGTAAAATCAAAATAAAGTATATAATTTAGTTAATAAGACTGCCAATATTAATTTCTTGGTGTTGACAAATGTTCTACATTTGTGTGAAATACCAACATTAGGAAAGTCATATACAGAAACCCTCCTCAGGACTCTCTTTATAACTTTTCTGAAAACATAAAATTATTGCAAAATTAAATTGTATTTATTAAAATACATGTTTCATGAATGGTTAAGTTACAGGAATGGGTCATACCAGCAGGCATAACAAGAGAAGCTAAAATGAACAGAATAGTCCAGGAGCCTTTACCTGATGCCTCTGGACACGTGTTTAGAAATGTGTTCCACAGCAACACCTAGCAAGGAGCTCTGTGCACAGCGAGAACTCCACCAGCCCTGCTAGCTTCAGTGTGATCACAGTTTCCTGTGTTTTAGGAAAGACATGCCCACTCAGGGCTTTTTTTGGAACATACAAGCCATTCTACTGACCATTTATACAAAATTTACTTGCTTGCTAATGTAATTGTTCAAATATATTTAAGGAGGACATGATTGTTGTCCTCATCTTTCTAGACAAGAAAACCAAGGCAATCAGGGAAGTCAGGAAAATGAGGAAACAGGAATATGAACACACTGAGACCATATTGAACTTGAACTTGACTTTCATTGGATTTGACCATGGAAAGGAGGGAGAGGGCGAGTCACCCCACTCCACAGTTCCTGCCTTCCAGTGTCCCCAAGAAATGCAGTTTCACTAAACTTCTCTTCCCCTCACAGGATCATGCCTGGTCTAAGAGTGAACTGTAAGTTTCTCCTTCCTGTTTTATCTTACACAGGTGTATGGATTATGGGGACTGCTCACTCAAGGTAATACTGGCTCCTGAGACCAAAAATGATAGGATAGTGGCTGCTGAGGCTGCTAAGAAATAGCAAAGTGTGGTCACAAAAAAATTGTTTTTAAAACTCTAAGCTTAAGACTAGTGGTTTCATCTAGGGAGAATATAAAATAAACCAAATGTAAGGTGACATATATTCTCTTTGGTATTTGGATTTTATCTATCATAAACACACATATATGATTTTTTAATGCTCTTCTCGTTTTTTCTTAGTGTTGATGAAATGTCTTACTCACTGTTACTGGAAATACTACAAAACATGGCTTAATGATCCTCTAGTCCATCCTTTGCTTCCTCTTTCCTTTCTTAAGACTACTGAATGCTTAATACATTGAGATACAACAGAATGAATGGGTCAGGCCTCTAATAAGTTAATGATATCTTCATCTTCGAAATGGTAAAGCAACTTCGCCATGTATAGATACACACTTCAACCTTATATTTCAGTTTTGGTCACCGTTAAAGAGACAAGGAAAGGGGTCAATAGGAGATGTGGAGAACACTTTGGGCAGACTGCATTTTTCTATTGAATTCAATGCTAATCATTTGCCTTTTTAATTTTTTTTCTTGAAATAACAGAAATGATTAAACATTTACCTGGATATATTCTGTAAGAGTATTAAACACTTGTTTTGCGACTTGAATAGCTTTGGAGAAGTTCCGTTGTCCTTGTTCGTCAATAACATCTTTCCCGGAGTAATACCAATAGAAATCACTAATTGATTCCTGGGAAACAGAAATGACATCACTAAGGTGGATTGTAAAGTCATCACAAACCTACCTGTCCAGTCCTATTATTTTTAAATAATAGGTAAGGTAACAACAATATCTGTGAATTAAATACTATTAATCAATTATTTTCTTAAACATACCATATATGTGGAAACTACTTCCCTTGATATAACATTGCAGAGAAGACAGAAGCAGAAAATTTAGCTTTAAAAATCTGTCTCTGATGACCCTAAACTTCACAAATATAAGGATACCTTAAAACTAATGCATATTTACCCACTGAGCAAAGTTACATGTTTACAATTTGAACTCAAAAATTAGACACATCATAGAACAATATTGTGGGGGTTACAGACTTCTGTCCTCCCTTGTCTTCTCCTACAGGCCAGGGACATGTTAGCAGAAAGAACACCAGGATGTCCCTGATCTCCAAGCTGCCCCTGGGGAACCAGCTTGGCAGAAACACCAACTCCATGAACAAGCTCTAATAAGATCCATCTTTCCAAACAGGAGTTTTCCACACTGACATTTTAAAGGGATTTCAGTTGGCTAAATACATGTTAAAAAAAATTCATTTGACCATATGTACTACACTTGAGTTTTGAGACATGGTTATAAAAATCATAATATGTTTTCAGCAACATTTTTGGTGTATTTTGCTTCAAAATGGACTTTTTCCCCCCTGTTAAGCTTTAAATTAAAAAAAAAAATGTGCTTTTAGCTAGGCACAGTGGTGCACGCCTGTGATCCAGTGACTCAGGAGGCTGAGGCAGGAGGATCATAAATTCAAAGCCAACTTCAGCAACTTAGTAAGGCACTTAGCAACTCAGCAAGACCCTGACTCTAAATAAAATACAAAAAAAGGGCTGGGGATATGGGTCAGTGGTTAAGTGCCCCTGGATTCAATCCCTGTTATTAAAAAAAAAAAAAAAGTTAAGGATAAAACCTAAAAGTTTGAATTTCCTGCCTTTAAAATACCATGTCTGTTTCTCATAAGTAAAATGAGGGGAAAGAAAGTTCTACAGGGTTGTTATTGTTTAAGATGCCCAAGTGTCAAAAATGATTCTATCAGAGATATTTTAATGTAATAAGGTGCTAAGCTGAATTTTAAAACTAACATAAATAGCAGGACAGCAGAAAGGAACCAACCTTAGGCTACCAAAGTCAAGTTAAGGATAGCAGGTGGAAAGACCTTCCTATTTGTAAGAATATTTCAATATTCTTCCCCAAATTATCTATTAAAGAAGGAATAGAGTATAGAAGTGCTTTGAAAAATGAAATAAATTTAAAATACTATCAACCTAAAAAAAAATAAAGGCTGCGAGTGCCAGGGGGAGAAGCTTGTATATAGAAAGAAATGAAGAACAAAGTAGCAGCCAGGATCAGAGAGAGATACAGCAGAGAGCGCTTCACCCTAAGAACTGCAGAAAAGACTGTGATCACAGGCAACATATCTCAGTGAACAGGTGGAGTCACAAACCCAAGCACATGAAGACATGTGGGTTTAACAAGGCCACCACTTTGCTTCACCTGGCCAGTCCTGTAGCTTGTAACCGATAGGGAGGCCACATACCTGAACCCTCAGCAGGTAGTCCACAGTAGAGATGATGATGTTGACAGTTGTATTGTTGCCAGTCTGAGTTCTCAGATAATTTTGAAAATCTACAGAAGATTGAAAATGCTATTAAAGTTCAGTCAAAACAAGTTGTTATTCCAGTAACTACCAAAGTAAATGTTGTTTACAGCAAGATCACTTGGCTAAAAATAGACTTTTATCTAATAATTTTAATATGAAATGACTTAAATTTCTCAAAAAAAAGTGTATGATCATCCCCAAAATGCATCCTCACAGAACAATATTCAATTCTCGTCGTCTAAGATGTTGGTCACACCAGTTCCTTATCCTAGTTCTAAAACCCTGGACAAGACTGAAAAGGGGTTCCCATCTTTAAGGATATAAAGAAAAAGCTATTTAATTCAGTAATTATATATGCAAAGTGCTAGGGAAACAAAGCTAAATCTAAAATGTAATTCCTGCCGTCATGGACCCATGGAGCTGGAGAAGAGCCAGATATTAAACAGTGAACAGAAATAAACTAGGTAAGTCATATAATGAACTCCCAAGGTAAAGTGCTGCAAAAGAAATAAACTTCTAAGTTCCTCTGAAGGTATCACATCTAAATTGTTTTTCACCCATCACCTGTCTTCTCTAACATAAGAATGATTGACAGTGATCCAGAGAAACAGCTCTGCTGGGACCTTGAAAGCAGCAGAGCCACGTGTCACATGGCACAGTATCCACTGTACCCAGGATGCTCAGGAACTATTTGCTGACTCAAGCTAAAGTCTAATGGAGTTCAAGAGCTTCTGCTGTCACTGGCTTCACACATCTGTTCCTCAGTCCCACCTCATGGGCTGGGGGCTCACAAACCTGAGCTGTGCCCCTCACAAAGCAGCTGCAGGAACCGGAAGAGGTCACAGGTGAACTCGTCATCCTGCAGAACCTTTTCTCCTGCGGGGAGTGCAGAGGGATGAGCATTAGCGACTACCCAGACTCCCCCTCTAGCCCCCACCCCCACTTGCAGGTCACCCCATTATTGCTCTGGACCCAAAGGGTCTCAAGACAGAGCCACATCTCTATCTGAAGCTCCTACAATCATGCACTTGGCAGATAGATGTACTTTTTCTTTGTAAGAAAAGAACATTTGAATCTCAAAACTCAGATTTCTCTCTGTTAAAAGTAGCAGCATGGGTTTGGCAACATTTTACAAACAACCTAAAGATGTAAATTTTTTGTGGGGGGGGAGGTACATATAGAAATGGTGTGTCACAAATGTCAAATTTGCTTTGTTCCTAGGGCACGACCAAATGACTCACGCAAAGCCTATAGTGTATTCACAGAACAGTGCCAAAGGTTTCTGTTATTAAAGAATAATTAGAAAATTTTTGTGAAAACTGCAAATCCCTAGAAAATGCTTGTTCACTCATTCTAATTAAATCTTTAACCAGCTTGTGTACTGACTGGAAAATAAAAAAAAGCCAAAACTTCAGACATCTAACAGACAGGACTGTTGTAGCATGACTTCCAGAGGARGAGGAGCCAGCAGAGACTTCACTCCAATTAGCAAACCCAAGGACAGACTGTCAGGACTCAGCCGTGAGAGAGGAGAGCAAGATGGCTCAAGGAAGTCAGAGGCCACCTGCAGCATCAGGACCAGACATGCCTGAGGGGCAGGGACAAAGCCTCCTAGGGCTATACTGGTCCACTGCACTGCAATTCAATGGTCTCTGGATCACAACTTCCCTTGACAGCGAAAACACAAGGAAAGAAACAAACACAAAACAGCACCACACAAATGAAAGTTGATTTCGTAAAAAAAAGTGTCAGTGGAAAAAAAGAAAGGTCAATGTTACATGAGTGTCTGCTCCAGAATCTAAATTTGTTTTAAAAGCAAAATGGCAAAAAAAAAAATATTGATTAGCTTGTGAATGAATATATTTATGTATTTAAATAAAATAATTTTTCACAGACTATAAATACTTTGGGCTAAGAAAGAAAACTATGCAATGATCATGTGTTTAACTAAAATCACGGATGATCATAATGACGGAGAGCTGATGGACTTACCAGTCCGCAGTCTGGGACTTTCAAAGTGGGAGGCTTCATGTAATGGTAGGATTAGGAAGCAAAACCATTGTGATAACTAATATAAACATTAAAAAAGTACATAAAAGCATTGTACTCGTTTCCCTGTTAGCCCACAAGCTATGACATCTGGTGACCAAGCTACGATCACCATGTATGGGACTCAGACCCTGTGGCAGGTGAAGTGTGAAAATCAACTTGTTTAAATCTCACACATGGCTGATAAGTCCATTCCTCAGTGTGTAAGTTCATGAGAGGGTAGGAAAGAAAGCAAGAACAGTTTAGGCCAATAAGCAAACTAAACTCTTCATTGGTAATACTCAGTATCATTTTTATGAGTCATTTAAATCAGAAGACTCTTAAAATGATATTTAAATCAAAATACTGTGTGAGCATCTAGACTTTTTGATTCTTTCCCTGTGAGCCCRTCTATAACGTTTTTCCTTCAGAAAATCAGGTCAATAAACCATGTATTTACTTTTATATTCATGTACTCAATGTGAAATAGATAACCGTTGTAGAAACTATTTAGAACAGTTAACACTAAAATAAATATCATAGATGCTGTGTGCCTGAAAATGCTCTGCATAATGCACAATAATTCAGAACTGAAGTTTTTATCTGCTGTTTGCATGCACACCATTTTCTTGTCTGTAAACGGCAACAAATACAAGTGACTTCACTCAGTAAGGCCACACTGCACGTAGCAGAACAAGGAGAGAACAGGATGGGGAGGACAGGAGAAGGCAGAGGAGGGCACGGGACAAGCCCACCAGGTGCTGGCAGGTGTGCACTGGGGTGCCACTGTGTGACGAGCACATCACAGATGAAAATGCTGCCGTGGCCCATGCTGCAGGTAAGTGGGGCAGTAACAGAGACCAGGACGGCTTTATGTCTGCAGAAGGTACAGGAGCAACAGTCTCCTTGTGATGTGGAAAAGCAATTCCATTTTAAGATGGGAACTTAGATCCATAACAAATAACAGAATGGAGTGACACATAATTGAAAGTGCTCTTGCATCCTGAAAATATTGTCAAGCTGTGAGAGGGCTTGAGGCACATACTGTGGAGGGCATTCCTTTGGTTCTGTTTTTGAAAGGGGCCTAAGATGGCTGACACTGGAGTGAAGGGAGAATCAACGCAGCACTGTTGCTCATGGTGAACTGGCTGCTTTGCATCTGAGGATGACCCGCACCTGTTCCTGCTCTACCTCATCTCCATTTTTATCAACCGTGAACAGGTTGATATATTAGGAGGAGAGTGCAATAACATCAAATGAAGATGGCAGCAGCATTTCTAGCCGAGGAAATAGAGTTATTTGAATATATTTATGAATGGCATTTATATTTTCTGAGAGTTATCTTAATTTTAATGGGACAAACTATCATCAAAATTGTAAATTTTCACGTGGAAATAATACAGTTAGAATTTGCTGAGAGAAGCATGAAACAATAAATCCTATTTTAGATATCAAATGAGGTTAACCTGCTTTTGGTCACTGTCCTACTCACAGTTGGCTTATACAGTTAATAAAAACCTAGACAAGTCTCTGCCTAAATTCAACAAAATACTATGTGAGTGTGTATCTAGTGATCCCTTTGATGTCCATGGACATTGCTTGAAGTTTTCAGCCTATTCTTCAGATGAAGCTTGGGTTAATTGCTAAAAATTAACTTCCAAATTATTAAATTAATAAAAATTCAATAATATAAGTAAAAATTACTACCTAGTATGCACATGATAATAATTGGAAAAGGAAGACTCCAAAGGCTAATGTCCCCATTGCCTTTGTTTCCAATAACTCAAAGACAAAGGGGTGACTGGCATGACACAGGGACTGGCCACATCAAAAGACCTCTGTAATCCCTTGTTGAGTGTCACTCGAAGGCACCTGCTGCCATGGAGGAAATCATTCTGATAATTGAACTCAGAGGATTTAAAGAACTATTTTGTACAATGGCAAAACTAAAGAATTAATACTAACAATATTTTTAGGTATTTTATTCCATGTGGGCAATTCCAATATCACTGTTGAAGCGGCTTCATTATGACTTCTTTAACTATTTTACAATTCAACTAATGAAACAAATTTTTAAAGATGGAATCACAGTTAACATTTGGAGACCTTCAATGTGCTCTTGTGCTAGACATATCATTTCATCTTGGGCTCATTATTATCCTGCAGATTAGGTAAATGGAATCTCATTTGGTGGGTCAATAAACAACTGAGAAACTAAGAAACTCAGCTAATGTCATACAGGTATATGGTAGTTAAGATTTGCTTCCCACAAATGTCAATAAACCTTCACAGAGTGTCTCCTCTCTGCCAGGCACCTTGGGAGGTGAACACAATCTCCAACCTGAAGCAGCTCAGTTATGGGAGAAACAGGCAGTATCACATGGTCCTGTTGAATCCAGTATGCCATTGTTTCTGAGCTCTGTAAAGTTGGCCTCACCAACCAGTACAATCTGTGACTATCAATCATTTCATGAACTGTATGTTCTTTAAATCTGAATTCACACTTGTTTCCATCGATTTCAGAACCCAAGGAAATCCATTTCTGAACATGTTATATTGGAAAATCAGATCCCCTTTCTGAGCCTGGGCTTCACAGTTTTGCTATGGGGGACTGATAAATACCTCGCCTAATTTCCTAGGCTGTTGTTAGAATCAAATTGTTCAAATAAGTAAAAGTGCTTTGGAATCTGCAAAGCCTAAAAGGAATAGATGCAAATTTCCAACTGTGAAGCCACAGGTCAAATTACTGAAATTTCTAAAATACAGAATTTTATTAGGTTGGGGGTGAGGGTAAAGACAATTCACCTACTCGGCTCACTGAGTAAGTTTATTTAAATGAAGTTGACAACCTGACACTGGTGTATGCAATGCATGACTATTTCAGATCCCAACACAATCAGAATGACCACTATGGGAAATAAATTAGGTATGTCCCAGGCATAAGAGAATTAAAGTACTTTCCAGTACTTAACTCAATTAAAGTATTTATGGAGGAAAATCTTTCTCCTTTCCAATGTGAGGTGGAAATCATCTCACAGCCAGAGCCAAGGCTTCTCAACTGTCACTGTTCAGAGATGCTCACTGCCCACCCATCTTACACAGTGTCGCCTGGGGTCTTACTCACACGCACCAATCCAGGGTAGTACTCAACAATGGATTACGGGGGTCTTTTGATGTGGCCAGTCCCTGTGTCATGCCAGTCACCCCTTTGTCTTTGAGTTATTGGAAACACTGGCATGACTAGACCTTACAGCAATGGGGACATTAGCCTTTGGAGTCTTCCTTTTCCAATTATTATCATGTACATACTAGGTAGTAATTTTTATTTATATTATTGAATTTTTATTAATTTAATAATTTGGAAGTTAATTATTAGCAATTGACAGAATTGCTATAAATATAAACAGAAGGATTCCTTGAACCCTAACTAGGGAAAGTCTACTGTGAAAAAAATGCCTCTCATGCATCATCAGACCTCCCTTGAGCTCACCTATTGCCACAAGGAAATTCTGCCAGCCCCTATCTGTGGAGGACTCAGCTGTTGAATAGAGTAGTATTTAGTAATCAGTGCACTTTAGTGTTGGTGGGGTCTACCTGGAGCCTTCTTCCAACAATGGATGTGAGGCCATCATTCCAAGGGGATATTAACACATAATATCACTCAAGGGTTACTCATTTAATGGCTCTTCAAGGCCTCATAGAAAAAACCACCCTAAAGGTCCTTAGAGCCTTTCACAAACTCTCTCTCTTCATCATCTAGTTTGGTCACCTCTTTCCACACCAGGTCCAACACAGCTCCCTGCTGGGCTGCACCCTCCTGCTAGAAGTCTTTGCCTTCCCTCTCCACCGGGATGCTGATTTCAGATCAGGTGCGACCTCTGTGGGGCCCATGAGTAGCTCCCACAGAGCACTTCTCTGAAGTGTGTACACCCCCAAGTCCTCAGAGACTAGGCACTCAAATTTAAGTGAGGGCTTCAACGTTTAAAAACTGCAAGAATGTTTGGAAAATGCATTTGGTGCCAATGCACCAGCATCTCAGGCTTTCCTTGAAGAGTACTGATCCTCAGAAATAGTGAATAAAGCAGGCAGAACCCAAGACCATACATGTGAAAACAGTCTGACAATCTTGGAGAAATAGAGTCAAGAAAATAATAAAAACTGTAAGAGGAATCAGGGTAGCCAATACTAGGCAATCAATATAATCCTTTTGCTTATTTAATTAAAAATTAATCTTTTTTGCTTCAACTTCACATAAATTTGATAAGATCATGATAAATAATTGATAAGAACCTCAGTATAACAGTATAAGAAACCTTAGTATAACAGTATTAAAAAATTATCAGATCCAGGTAGAGGTTTGGGGAAGGTTAACTGGTAGTTAATATTTTAGAGAAGGTTTCTAAAAATCAATTTTTGTGGAATCATATCAATTTCAAATATTTTTCTTCACTATGAAGTCTAGGACTACCACAAAAATGACCAAAATTCAACATCTTCTGCTATATTCTAACAGAATATGTAGTTGTTTTCCATGAAGGAAAACTACACTTTTAAATTCATAATGAATTGGTAATGAGGTTATATGGTTTTGATAAAAAAATTAAAAATTCAAGAATGGGTTGAAATTTTTAAATATTCATATTGTTTTTTAATTTCATTCAATCATTAAAAAWCCTAATGAATATAAAATACACAGAGAGGACGACATTGACCACATCGCAAATCCTTCAAACACATCTGCTGAAAACATTTTTTTTGAACAAAAAGGGAAATCCAGACTTTTGTCACAATGGGGGAATTTAGTAAGGAGGGACAGAGACCGGACAAATGTCCACAGAGGTAGTGGCAATAAGGAAAGACGGTCAAATGATTGGCCTGAAACCTTTACATACAAATCTTAAAGAAACACGTTGTTTGTAGTGATATCTCCATACCAGATTAGAAACAGCATTTATGACATTAAAAAGTTAGAAGCAGTTTTGAAACTTCAGCAAAAAATGCCGAAGTTGGCAGCAGATTGTGCCCTGGAGGTGCAAAGAACAAGTACTGGGGCAGAAAGTCCACCCTGAGACTCTAGATATGAAACGGACCCTGACAAACGTGTAGAGAAACCGAGCAGCCATGGCTGGCTTGGGGAGTCTCTAAACAGTAGGAGGCAGAGAGTGGCATTGCCTCTTGGCACTGCCACTTGGCTGTGGGATGCTGGGAAGTGACCTTTCTGCCCTTCAGTCTCCTTATGTATAAAACTCTGGTCACAGCCACTTCACTGTGGAAGTAGACACCCAAAGTGTGTAGACACCAGAAAGTTCATGTGCTTGGGCTTTCACGTTTTTCATGGTCATATAGTCTGGCCATATTACCCTCACGGGAGAGTTTCCGCCTAATAAAGACGGGATGAGGATGCAGAGGACCTAGTAGATTGAGCTCCAGCAGACTCTTTTCTCAGTGTTCAGCTTATGCTGAATCTTTGCAGCAATGGCACCAGGAACAGATTTGGGTCTTTCAGCCTTTTCTGTACCTTCCAAGAGCAATAACTGATTTTCCTTCTCCTATAAGGATCTGAGCTTTTTTTTTTTTTTTTAACTTTTGCAGAATTGTAAATAAAAGAATGTCCTCACAATAGAAATTTTTAAGAACATGTTCAGAGAGGTCAGCACAGGGGTTCTTAAAGCAATGTGGGAAACCGTGTTATTAACAGCCAATGTTCCCCTAACCGTCCACGTCACCCTAACAGGTCTCTCACTTAATCAGAAGGCACAATTAGTTGAAAGCGGTTGACAGTGCTAGGTCCTATTCTAAATCTCTTCCTTTCTTTATTACCACTGCCTAGGAGGCTGTAGAGAAGCTCTTTTGTCATACTGATGCCATCTTTGTTGTTCTATTAGTGTGAAGAGCAAAGAATTGCTACTGTTTCTAGTTTCTTTTCCAATTCAGCCTTAAGAATGAAATTAGCTTTTATGTTCAAGGACTTTTAATCTGTGGTATTTTCAAAGGAACAGAGGAAAGCCCTGTAGACCCCCCAGAGCCCAGAAGGCAGTGGGCAGAGCACACTCAGCTGGTCGCAGCCCACTTGGGGTCTGTCACTGATTCTCATGCACCAACAGTGCAGTCATAAAGCCACGGTTTGTCCAAGACAGAGATGCCACAGGGAGACCCGAGCACACATTCTAGAGCCCTCAACCAAACACTGGGCCCACCGGGGACTCTCTTAAATAAAAGAAATGCAACAAAATAAACCCCAAAACATAATTTAAATGCTTGGGGTCCCTTCATGTCTGAAATATTAATAACTTTACATTTTCATAGGAAAAAAGGGTAACTGGGCATATAAGGTATATAATATTAAAAATAATAGGATGCATAATGATAGAAATTAAATAATCTACTTGTTGAAACAGAATGTAAAGAAAAGCACAAAAACTATCACTATCGAGTGTATACACATAGCTAACCACAAATAAAAGAGCAAGTGAACAGAAGGGCAGCTCACGGCTAATAATTACCACGCTCACGAGTGACGACTGAGGAAGAAAGGTAGGACATTTACAGTAGTCAAAAGAGGAGGGAACAGGAAAGAGAAAGAAGTTGAGATTTTTGTTTTATTTTGCTATTTGTAAGGAAATAAAATACAAAATGTGTTAATCAGTTGGGGCAATTATTTTTGTGTGTGTTGAAAAAAGACCACACACATTAAACCAACCTAATACTGAGAGGTGAAAACAACTCATATCAGAATGGTCACTCAGTGATTTCCAATATGGGACTCAAACGACCGTACTGCAGTCCACACCAGACTGGCAAAGGCCAGGGACTGCCAGTGGGGAAGTTGTTCCTTTGTGGGAACTGAGAATTAACAGGACTGAGAATGAGGAATGGGATTCTGCTCAAAGACTCTGGAACATTCGGTAGTAACTGTAGGGAAAAATGAAATTGATTTCTAATTCTAAGACAGGGAAGTCAGATTTACTTTTAGACATCTTACAAACAGAAAAGGCTCAGGATTCCCAGAGATGCTGGAGGCAGACTGTTAACTAGCCCTGAGGTAGACAGTGGCCCCTGGATTCTCCAGATGCACCAGCAGGGAGAAAACCTGAGTAAGTTTAGAGCAGTGTTGCTGATTTTTCCAGAAGGTGACTAACTCCACTGACCCATATAATACAACTGGATCTACATATTCAAATGTCACAGAATAAAACCCCCATGGGAGCCACATAGTACTCACAGGGACAGGATGTGCCTAAGTAGTAAACTTCAAATATAGTACGAACTAAGCAGTTTTTTTTTTTTTTCTAATGGTGGGATAAAAACTGATTAGCTAAAATTTTCAGAAAGGCAAGCAGAAGCTACAAATAGGAAACAGGAGAAAAATTTATTTTTTGAGATCAGATTAATCTGATCAAGAAATTAATGTTACCAAACTAACATATTGGCAAGAAGATAAATCCAAAGCCGGCCAAAGAACTAAATTCCTGTGACCACACTAAAACAAGTGTAAAAATCAGACACATGATTAAAAACCAATATAAGTAACATTTTTTTCTTAAATATTCCTGAAAGGAATGGGCAGCGGTGGTTATTTGTGCTTTGATTGCATTGCAGGCTTGATTGACTCTCAAGTTTTCGCCCACATCTAGTTAGAGAGAAACATTCTCAGGTGGCATCAATCACTCTTTTTTTCAGTAATCAGAATCACATAAACAAAGAACTACTCTAACTTGTGTCACAAAATAATTGGTACTTGCGAAGATGCTGGAGATGGAAGGATAGTCGCTGACAGAGTGGAGGACAGGGGTCACTCAGGGACCTAAACGGCTGCTCTACAAAGAGGAGGAGAGCCTGACGGTTGGCCAAAACAGCCAGACAAAGCTCCGCCTTCGAAACCCTGGTCCTTCTGTGCACTTGCAGATTCTACAGATGATTCTCAATGGGGGGACTGTGCCACTCCGCTAAAACCAGGGCAGCAGGCACTGCCAGGTAGACCGGGACAAGCAAGAGTTGGGACCCATCTGGAAGACTGGGGGTGGTCTTGGGTGTCCTGTGCAAGTGTCTAGTTCTGAACATTCAAATGAGTCTCATGAGCGTTTTATCAATTTTAAAACAATTCTATCTCTGCTGAAAATGTAATCGACAATGGATGTGTTTCATGGAAGAAGGGAGACAAGGCGGTTTACATGTAGGTGGTTAGTACCTGATCCTTCCTCTGTCACCATTCCAAGTCCTTCAGCTTTGTTTTGTCGCTCAAAAGCATTCAGGTCAAGGACACTACAGTAACAAGAGAAAAACATTTAGAGAACAGAACACCTTCTCTGTTTAGGGGAGCAACTGTCCAATGCCATGTGCCTTGAACACTGAAGGTTCAAGATACTCTGAGACCAGGTCCCAACAGATGCCTCTCGGCCACGTGTTCCTGCCAACCTCTCCCYAGGGCCCACCCTGAGCTGACCAAGAGGAAAGTCAAACACATATCATATGGTTCAGCTCAGGGAGAACACTGCAAAGTTACCAAAAATAGAATCATCATCATCATGCTTTTGCAACTTGTTACATTGTTTCTATCAGGTTCCTCAGACAAATGCTGTCTGAAAGATTTTAAATACTATACAAATAGATAATGATTACAACAAATTAACTGGTTAAGGATCACTTAGAAAAACAATGATGAAAAATGCCTCACATGTCCCAAATCAAAACAGAATTTTCTTTTCTTACCTTTTGGAAAAAAACATATAGCATTCATCTTCAAGTATGTAGAATATAGCTTAGTAAGTCCCTATTTAAGCATGGGGGACTATTTTAGGACTCTAACAACACTGAGTAAGTGTGATAGGACATTACTAATACTCTAAACACAAAATAAGACAAAAGACACTGCTAATTGTCCCATCCTAAGATGTCTTCCAAAAAAAAAATCTTGGTATAATTGCTATCAGCAATGAAAAGAAGACAACACTCTTGAAACACTCAGCCCAGGGAGCCAGGAGGAGAGCACATCCTCACCTGCAGGACTGCATCAGGCCCGCCAGGCTCTGGAAGAAGCCCACGTCCTTCTTCTCCCTGAGGTAGTCGAGCATCTTCTACAGAAAGAGATAAAACCACATAGCTTTTTAATTAAGTAAATATAGCAACCAAAACATGCTTTCTATTCTGGAACAAATGTAAAAAGTAGCCAAACAATACAAGTATCTCTAATGTCATCTTTATCATGAAATGGTAACAAACATGTCAAAGAAAGACCACTGCACATTTCTATGTGCGAGAACACCTAGAAGTGCGGAGGATGGGGATCAGGGCATTGTTCCCACACACAAACACATAAATATTGGGAAACCAGTACTGGCAAATCTTTTCCAATCTCTCTTAGTATTTGAGACTCAGACACTTAGTGCAAGGAAACCAGCAAGCAGGTCCAAGTGGCTGTATCCAGCAACAGGGGTTCCCTGAACAGCTCTTAGAGCTGAGATGTGACTCTTACCTGCACACGCAATAGCCAGGAATCTAGCTTCCACAGTGCCCTCTCTCACCCTAATATAAGGCAGAAACTACTGGACTATTCAGCTTTTCTCCTCTGTTTTTGGATAGATGGCCAGAATCTATGATTAACATTTTGGCTAAACTAAATGTAACAAAAGAGTTATTTTTAATATGGATAAAACATGGTGGAGGTTTCAAATAAAATGTACAGATGACCCCAACTCATGCTGGTTTAACCTCAGATTTTTCAACTTTGTGATAGTACTACAGGGATATGCATACTTGGAATTCTGGATTTTGATCTTTTTCTGGGCTAGCAATGTGCAAGATAACACTCTCCTGTGCTGCTGGGTGGTGGCAGCAAGTGGCAATTTCATCAGCCCAGGTCCCGGGAGCACAATCCCCTGAAGTATGCTGTGCTCCTGAGATCTGCAGGACGCTGGAGCAAGTGATATTTTTGACATTGCTGAATTTATTGGTTAGAATCCCTGGCAAGCTAAGGAGCCTCTTTACCTACAGGACACCAGAAGGCAGACCCAAAGGTCTTAAGGAAATAAAGAAATTGCTTTTTTTTTTTTAATAGAAAAAGATAATTCCTACTGTCAGTGCTGTTCTAAACAAGCTCAAAGCAGCCAAAACGGTGGTAGTGATATTTTTCAGAAATACGGATCAAAACAACATAAACTAACTGTATACAGGATACACATGCACACTATATGGATGTATGCATATATACGTGAGTACAAAAGAATATCCATGCATGTAAAGTGTATGTATGTGTATACATATACACACAGACACATATATGTGTATGCTACACACAAATATAGGCAAAAACACATAGCATATTAGTCTAGGAAAAATACTGGGGAAAATGAAACAGATTGATCATTTTTTTAAGACAAAGGAATGTGGCTTAGAGGATCAAAGAGACATTATGGAATATGCACTTGAAGTTCTACAGAAAGAAGATGTGTACTGATAATAAGTAAATGCAATCCAGGGTCTCCAGTCTCCTCTTAGAGCCAAGGATTTCTGAAAATACTTACACTATATAAGGAATGTCTTTTAAAGTAAAACATAAGGCAAGAAAAAATATTTTTGAAGTGTATTTTGGAGAGATTAGTTCAGCTTTATTTACTTTTCCTTAAAAAAAAAAAAAACAAACTCATGTAGTTATGAACCAAGGAAACAACAAGCTGGTTATCCATGCCAGGTTCCACAACTTTGTGATGACTCATATCCAGTCAGATATTATGGCCAGAGAGTGATTCATGCCTCAATGTAAGAACTCATTGGGCATGGGAGAAGGTCACATTTAGATTGATGTTTCAGATACTCTCATACCATTCATTCTATGTTTGAGTTTGGAAGACTATCATATAATTACTTTTTCCTTTCTATGTTCTCTCTTGGGTATTGCAGTAAATTAGAGACACATTTTACATAAGAAATGAAAAATTTTACAGTAGCTCTTTCCATATATAGTCTGTTTGAAAACCACATCATGTAAATTACTCAAAGACCTCACCTGTTGTACTGTAGAATTCCCACCGTTTAAAATAGCAATTCCAAGTTTCAAAGTAGCAGCCACCATGGGTCCAGTTTCACCTTTAAAATATAAAAAGCAGCATTCCTTATATTTTTCCACAGATGTGTTGACATAGTCTACCTCAAAAGGTACTCCTTTTAATATTATTACTTATGACAAACCTATGTAACTTATGTACCCAAAACACCAAAATGATAAAATGCATATTTTGCCATCAATATTTCTGCTAAATTCTGTGTAGTATATTTAAGACTTGAAACATGAAAACATAGGAAGAAATAATAGATTTTGAAATATTAAGAGCTGAAATTATTAAGCTTCAAAACCAGCCATGTGTATTAAAATAATGTTTAAATCATTATTTAAGTTACTTAAGACTTTAAGAAAAATTTTTCTCCCTTCAACAATATTCTATTAGAATTTTTATCATTTTCATTCATCACCTATAATACTTCTAAAGTCTGACTTTATTAAAATAATGACTATTCTCAATTTTAAGTTATTCAGATAATGACAAAACTTTAAAATCCATCTAGTTGTTTATCATTTAGTATATTACATTTTATTTTTACATTATTCACCTCTTCTTAGAAATAAAAATGATTTCCATCATTTAGGGGCACTTAATGCCAGATTATAACAATATTACTTTTCCATTTCATTACAAAGGGCTTACAAAGTTTTCACAAATAAGATACTCCTAATGCAGGGAAAGTCACCTTGAAATGGTGGCTACTGAGATAGACAATGGTACTTTAACAGTTAAAAATCACTCATTAAAAATGTCTAAACATTTTAAGGTCAGGACACTATAGCCCTAGGCCCATGCAGAGCTTGCTACCTGCTATATAAACAAAGTTTTATTGAAACATCCACACTGTTTACGGTCAGCTTGCCTGATGACAGAGCACCACACAGCCCATGATGCTTAAATAGCACTCTTTGGATATACAGAAAAGCTTTAAAATGTCTGATTTATAATGTCACTTTGCTAGAGCTTAGTTGTACCACACAAAAGTTGAAGAACATACATAAAGTAAGTCTTTCTAGTAAGAAGAAAACAATCCACTAAACTCTGTAAATGATGAGCTGATAGCTGATGATACAGCTTGTCATGAACTAAGAACCCAGTGAGGGAGCGTCAGGAGCCAGGAGGCTAGCTCCAAGGGACGGAGAGTGACCTCACCTTTGCTGGCACTGATGGTCTGCAGCACCATCTCCGCGGCCCCCCGGTCATGCAGCCTGGCTTGCTGGTAGAGAAGCTTCTGCTTTTCCATCTCCTTTTCCTGAACACAAACCCCAACCATTTATGTTGTGGCTGTCAGTAAGCATGGCTGCTTTCTATATTTTAGTCATCTCTTCATGTATGGGCTCTATGACAACATTATGGACCATTTCAACACCAACAATGTCATCAAACAGATCATCACATATTCATCTCTCATTTTTCCCCTTTATATTTTTCTTGATATACTTTTGGTACTGGTTCATCAGGATGGATTTTTCTCAATTTTAATTGTTTGATTAGTCCAAAGCCTGTATCACAGTTTTGCGCTTCATCATTGAAACTTGCACTTTCCGATTTGTACATCTGTGCATAAGTTGATCAGGTTTTTGATAATCTCCCCAGTCATGGCCATAACTTGATACTGCTCAGCGAGTTGCAAGTTATCACTGAATCACAGGAAGACATTAACTAAGAAGTCTTAGAGTTTAAGCAAAATTGAAAGCTGATATGGATAAAAAAGTAGGCTTCAACCAAGTAGTGGACTTATGGTACTGTTCTCCCCAGTCACCCTCAAAGAATAAGAGAAGCCATGTGCCTTTATATTTTGTATTCTCTGGTGGTTACAAACGATACTGCATGGTGTCGCCAGAGCAATGGCTGGAGTTGGTTCTTTTCCACTTAAGCTACCACTGCAAACATAAAGAAGGAGATAAGAATAAAATATAAAGGCACAGCAAGTTCAAGACTGGTATGATCATTCACTTGAGCGATCCAGTTCGCTGGAGAATTGAGACGGAACTAAGCAGTATAAGTTGCAGAATCAAAGTTGCATAGAGCCCTTTGACAGCGCGTCCATCAAATGGCGTGGTAGAGAAGCTTAGTCAATGGGACATGAAACGGTCAATTAGTATCATGTCCATAAACACAGCGGCCAAAACATATATGACCTAAGAGCAGTAGGAGCTGCAGCAGAGGTGGCCAGAGAGACAGCTTTGCTGCCGTAAACTTTCCATCCAAAGTACGGAAAATAGACACTGGAAGATGGAAGAGGTTTAAAAAATGAAGGCTTGCTAGTTACAGAATATGAAAAATAAACTAAAAGGAGGGGGAAAAGAAATGGGCTCAAACAAATGAAAAAAAGAAACCTTTAAACCAAAAGCAACCAACACAGACATTTATGCTGTTACCAGAGAGTTCTCGCCGAGGCTGGCAAATTTGTTTCTTAAATCTTTGATAATATCGTGCTGCGAAAACAAAATTGATCAGGGTTTTTTTTTTCACACTATAGTTAAAGCTCCTGTGGTTAAATTTTTATTTGTTCTTAAATTATGTGATAGGCCTAAATGGAAGCAGAGAAAAGAAAAAAAAAGAGGCAGCTTTGCTTCATATGTAGCCATGCTAACATCTAAAAGGTTTGCCTTCATGTTTAAACCTCTTCCTGTGAAGTCAGAAACAAAACAAAAACAAAACCACACAGACACACAGAACCATATTGTCATTACAACACAGTTTCAGAAAAACTGAAAGAAGACCCTCCCAGGTGCGCTTCAGGGGTTGTTTAGAATCGGTCAGCAACACCCCATTCTTCCTTTTAGACCCAACAATCTTTTACTTTCTTCCCTTTGTCAGAACAAAGAAGGGAACTTTTGCTTACATCCTGACTCCTTTTGTGAAAGAGTTGTGCAATAAGAAAATGGTAAGGAATTATTAGCTTAGGGAACTACCCTGACATCTTCACACAGCTAAAGAGGCCAGGGAGGCAGGAAGAGCTGCTCTTCTACTGACCCACTGGAACACAGGGCCACAGTCATCAGGAAACCTCCAAGACACAAGACGGCAGCAGGCCACAAGTTCTTGAGGAAAAAACAATATTTGCCACTTGCACTCCAAAAGCGGGTAGACTGGTTCCAACATCTGCCAGAATAACTTTTACAGTAGATCCAAGGTCCTGGTAGCCTCTTGGTAACTGGAATCACCTGTAACATGTACAGCCTCAGGAGGATCAAGAAACTGACAGAGTATCAAACTACCTGTTTCCAAAATTAACTCCCTGGATAAAGAACACTTTTCCTTTTTATTATCTGGCTTCTCAATTTTAAAAGTCATAAGTATTTATGGGGAGATGATTTTAGAAAAAAAAAGAAAGAAATCCTGGTCCAAAAACAAGAGAAAGCTCTGCTTCATGGATCGAGATCAGGCCAACCTTGATTTCCCGTTTGTTGGGGGCTGAGCTGGAGGCTTTCTTCAGAAATCTGCAACATGATCTCTTTCCATCCTGTGCTCTGTCCTTTCAGAACTGCTTCTTGACATATAATTTAATTTCTTTCACTGGGAAATTCTACCACCACCATCACAACAATAACAACACAAACGGAACTTGAGAAACAACCAGAAAGATTTCCAACTTAGTAAAAATGATGAAAAGTAATTATTTTTTGCCCTTCAAATTTCTGGCACGTTAGCTTTCTAAGCAAACTGGAGATAGACCTTTTGGAAGCATGTTACTCAGGAAAACTGAATCTTGAAAACACCTTGTTAAAAACAGGGTTCCTTCCCTCAGCCCAGGTTCTGTTTTATCTGCCTCAGGGTCTTAGATAAACACCATGTTGTCTTCAACCTGCAGATTAGTCTTTAAATTATTCCTACATTAGAAAGAAAGTTTGAGAAAAATAAGCACAGCTCTACGATTTGGATTTTCTTTCAGGCAATAAGTTCTGATTGCTGAGAACAACCAGGAATCAGCAGCTCTCATCCTAACATGATTGGCATCAGTCTTTTGAAGGTCAAGCGCAGTGGTAAGTCAGACCCATGATCAAGTCACCTGCCTGCACTGAATGGAAGTACTTGACCTCATCATTTCTTTGTGTGTCACTGAAGTTTGTAATAAAATGGCTAAATTCTTCCATTGTGCCAAGAACTTTAACACTCGAAGGGGGAAATGTACACAGGCTTGAAGAACAAAATATATTTGGTTCTGCAACAACTTGCCTTACATGAGAAAAAATATTGAAACAACAAATATAAATTACAATTGTCCCTGGCTCCTTGATGGACAAAGTAGTATAACCCCCAAATGGAGACAGGAATTATTTTAAGTGGAATAGCCTGATGATAACAAAGAAATTCATAATTTCTGAAGGATTCTCTTCTGGTTGCATGGACATGTGGGCAGCCTGGACACATATCACAGGCTGAGGCCATAAAATCCACAGTCCAGGGTTTCACCAAAGGGCCCAGCTGCTTTGCTGCTTCTCTTTGTATTTCTAAAATGTCACCAAGGTCTTCATCGTGTGTTTCTCTTTAAACTGCATGTGGGAGCAAACTCTAGTCTAATAAAACAGAAAATTCCAGGAACTGAACTCTTAAAAGATATCTCCCATGTTTTAGTAATGTTATAATTCAACTTCATCACTCCTACTTGACATACTGAATATTATAGGTGATGTGGAATGTCAATATCACTAGCCAAAAAAAAAAAAAAAGAAAGGCTGAAATATATAAGATCTAATTGGATAACCAGAGAAACAAAGTCAAAGAGGGGAAATGGTTCTAATAACTTGATTTACAACAGAGGGTGGCCAACTCAAGACTAAGGAAAGACAAAACCTTAGCCGTTAGGTCCACTCTCTACCTCAGTGTTGATTTGTTTCTAGCTTCCAAAACTATAGATTAGCCATGCTTATGTAGAATTGACCTAAAGTTATGGGAAAACACACTGAGGAGTATAGCTTTAATAATGAATGGTTACTAAAATTTTTAAAGAACTGAACCATGTATATGGAGTTTCTTAGAAGAAAAGATTTGTGAGGACTCAGCCATAGATTTTATTCGTGGTAACTATATACAGTATGCAAACCCTGTGTACTGTATACCCCATATAGTTCCCTGCACATAATAGGTGTTCAGGGAAACCTAAGTGACAGAAAAAAAAAGTGATGTCACATAGCTTGTGATCACAATATTTAAAATATTACAAATGTTATCTTTGAGTTTGAAAAGCTACAAAACCAGAACACTATCAAAGTTTATTTAATTTGTTCTCAATGCATGATCAAAGCCGCTGTCTTTAGAATTATACTAACACAAACTAATAATAATCACATTGTGGCTTTGGCTCACTCAATGTTTTGTCTGCACCTTACACTAATACTCATTCTCTTTGCTACTGAAGTTTGAAATACTACAATAATCCTCCAGAGTTCTGCTTTTCAATAGGATGAGCATAGTTTCCAACACTACTTAACAAAAAAGAAACAGGGAGACAGAGAGAGAAAAAAGATGTATTTACCAAAGCAAAGCTGTTTTAAATAGAAACTTTGATCAAGTTTTACTAACCTACTCAGACAAAAGAAACACTAAACCAAAGATGTGGACTTCAGTGACTGTCCCCGAGCTCTGAGTGGAGGAGTGTGTGTGGTGAGGTCTACTGCTCACTTTCCTTCTTCTAGAAGCACATACACCTGCACTGACTGTAGAACACCATATTTCCCTTGAAGTGAGAACATTTAGAATTTATTTAAAGGTAGGTTAAAGCAATCAAGCACAGCTCAGTTCCAAGAGTTTCCTTTCAGGGTCCAGTGAACAAAATTTATTCTATACCACAAAAAGCTCCATTCATGAGATATAAAACTGTGAAGGACAACTTGACAATCAGGAGCCATCAAGTCAGCAATGTTCAGCTAATCATTAGAGGCAATGATCACCCTGAGCACAGAACTGACTTAAAACAGCCTTCATCTGCCCGTTTTCTTGGCTTTAAAGGCCCTGAATCCAGAAGGCAAGCTGGATGGATCCTTCCTGTCCTGACACCACCTGATAAGAGCAGAACCACCACCTAAGGCAACAGATGACCATGAATAGCACAAGTTGTGATGAGGTCACACAGGTTCCCGGAGGCCTCCTGAATCAGGGAGTGAGAGATTAGGGAAAGTCTCATCACAGAGGGGTCATGACTGGACATGACAAGCACTCTAGAGTCTGTGATTTTCAGTTTTCAAAAGTGGTCACGCACACTAATTAACTAATTATTAACTGTGACCCAGATCAACTCTGCATAAA